GCCCGCGCTGGGCTCGAGGTGCCGCTGCTGTGCCCAGCAGCGCTATGGGAAGGTTGGGTTGTTGATCTCTGTGCCGCTTCCACGAGACAAGGCCATGGGGATGATTCTCGGCATTCAGCAGCGCGGTGCCAGCAGGACCGGCTCCTCCTGCAGCACTCGGGGTCAGTGCAGTGCAGTTTGGTGGCTGTTGTCATAGGCAGTGGTTGTCATAGCAGACAGCATTAGCTCAGTGCTGCTTGCATTTATGGATATTAACATTGCTGTTTCCTTTCCATTAAAGGAAAGGTTTCTGCTCCTGGTTTGTGTATTTCAGAAGGCGGTGAGGCGCCTGAGCTCTGGGCACAGAGCCGTGCTGGGCCTGGGCAGCTGCAGCCGTGTGGGCTGACAGCACTGCCCTCAGCAGCCCTCACCCAAATCTGATCGCTGTCTTTTCCCCAACCTGTGTGGTAACTGTTGAGTCACGGCCTGACCCACCGATAATCACCTGGGGAAAGGACCGGTCAGCCCTGGGAGCACAGGTGTGTCACAGAGTTGACTAGATCAATCTATGTCCGTGACGGGACGACAGGCCTCTGCCCTCCCCCCCCACCCCAGTCCCACAAAAATGGGAAGAAAGGAAGGGAGGAAAGGAGCAGCGGCAACAATCTATGGAGGAAAACTTATTTTACTATAATATTGGAATACAAGATAACACAATAGATACAATTTAATTGAAATTGAGATTAATAAATCAGACAAGATGAGAGAGAGAGTTCCCGGGACCGAGTCAAACCTGAAAAGCTTGGAACGGCTAGGAAAGCACCTCCAGCACCCACTGCCAGGCAGCAAGAGAGCGCCCCCCCCCACCCGGAAGGGTCAGATCCCGTGACTGCTGTAATGTACAGGGATGGGAACCTGGGATTGGGGCAGTGACACTTTAATGCCCCGTACACTACATGATGTTTTGATGTGGAATACTGAAACCCAGAAACAAAAAAACAAAAACATAGAACCATGACAAGGTGAAGGCAGTTAACTGCGGGGCAGGAAGGGGTGCAGCCTGACTGCGCCTCTCTTAGAGCTCATTTAAGGGCTGATGCCACTGGGGAGGGATGTCTGCTTGGAGATCCGTCCCTGGTGGAGTTCTCCTCATGAGCCCAGACCTTCAGGAACAGGAATGGGTGAGCACTTTCCTTTTTCTTCGTGACGCCATTCCATTGGTCCCTTTGCTACCACACTCCTGTATTGCCCTTCCACCTCACTGGTGTTTCTGATTGTAACATCAACCCTTCTCTCCAAATGGACTTCTTGGTTTAGTAAAGCCCTTTCTGCTTCAGCAGCAGTTGTGACAATCACAGCCTCTGCTGCTTTGCTGTATGCCGTGTGCTCGGTGCAGCTGCAGCTGTGTCCCAGCGCTGTGCTTAGCACTGCTGCCTTCAGCTGCCTGCTGGCCAGCGCTGCCTCCAGCTGAGCCCAAACCCGGCCCAGCAGGGAATCCCCCCCTCCAGGTCTGAACCTGGGGGCTGAAGGGGCGGCTGCTTGGAAGGAAGCTCAGACAGCAGCATTGTGATGTGTAAACTCAGGGCTTGCTTCACCATTGTGTCACGCATCAATGGGTTGCACATAGCTACTGCACTGTCTGCCCCTTAGGGCGGAGCTGCACACAGCTGCAGAGGGGCAGCAGGCACGGGGCGAGGGGTGGTGGGGGAGGCGTGTGCCTGCGCCATTCTGTTTGTCCGTGTCTCCCTGCAGGCACGGGCAGCTCGGCCACGGCAGCCTGGAATCCGAGCAGCAGCCGCGGCTGGTGGAGGCTCTGGGCGGTCTGCCCGTGAGGGCAGTGGCAGCTGGCGGGTGGCACTCGGCCTGTATCAGCGGTGAGGGGCTCGGCGCTGCCCGGGGGCACGGGGTGGCAGTTCGCACCGTGCCCTGAGCGGGACGCGTCCTCTGCAGATGGCGGAGACCTCTACGTGTGGGGCTGGAACGAGTCGGGCCAACTGGGGCTGCCCTCCCGGGCGGTGGCGGAAGAGCAGCCAGAGGATGAGGACGTGGGTGCAGGTGAGGACACCGGGGGGCTGCGGCAGCGCTGGGCTCATCTGTGGGGCTGAGCAGTGCTGTGTGCAGGGCCCGAAGAGCCGCCGCTGCCTGAGGAGCCGCCAGGCCCTGCCTTCATCTCCATCCAAGCCTTCCCGGCCCTGCTGGACCTCCCGCTGGAGCCGGCGGTGGCTGCAGTGAGCTGCGGCTCACGGCACACAGCTGCGGTCACACGTGAGTACCGGGGGTGGGGGGGTCCTGCCGCCCCGGCTGGGGGCTGATGGCACCGTCCTGATTGCAGGAGGCGGAGAGCTGTACACCTGGGGCTGGGGTAAGGCTTTGGTTTCACTCCTTTATTGCTCACTTTGGGGTGCTGTCTGAGGGGCAAATCCCTCAGCCCCCAGTCTGCACTGCTCTGCCCACAGGTAAATACGGGCAGCTCGGGCATGGGGCCCGTGCCAGCTGTGACCAGCCACGGCGTGTGGAGCAGCTCTGGGCTGAGGGGCTGCGGGCGCAGGAGGTGGTGTGCGGGCCCTGGAGCACGTATGTCTGCGTCCTGCAGCAGGGAGGGACGCGGGGCTCCCCCCTGCCCTGCACGGCCCCAGCCCTGCAAGCTGGAACTGAGCCTGGGAGGTGCCAGGAGGAGCTCAGCCCCCATCCTTGAGCTCAGTGCTGGAGCGGTGCTGCTGCCCATTGTGGCCCAGCGAGGGGCTGCTGCTGAAGATGAGGCAGAATGAATGTATTTATTAAATGTAATTTTTTTGTAACAGCGGCAGTAGTGCTTGATGGTGCTTACAAAGGAGAGCTCCTGGCTGTCAGAGACCCCAGAGTGACAAGAGGGGAGGGGGAAGCACCCAGCCCTCACTCTGCCCCCTCCAGGCTCTGTGAAGAGATTTTGGTCATCCCAACAAACACACGGACAGCAGTGGCTATATGTACAGATATGATTATTCTCATCAACAGTATATACAGTTACAGAGTAAGGAGACAGAACTTCGGGTGTAAGTAACAGTAGGTGGGTGGCTGTAGTGATAACAAGGTGCAAATTAGTCACGATCAAGGACTGAGCTAAGAAAGGTGCAAACTACCAACCACGCCGTTTTACTGTGAACGCAGCTGGAGCAGAACAGGGGAAGGGGCAGCACTGGAGGCTGTTGGCTTTGGTCCTACTACAGCTCAAGTAGCTGCTGGGACTGTGCCTCCAGTCCCAACCCCTGCATGTTTCAGGAAGGGCAGAGGATGCAGGGAAGCAGGGTGCTGAGCTCCAGGAGCACAGGGCAGCTGCAGGACACAGGTGCCCACGCTGCCTTCCTAGGAGAGATGATGTGCTGAGGCCAGGCTGCAGCCCAGTGTGGGTGCTAGGGAAACCTCAGCTAAAGCAAGCCTTGGCTGAAGCACAGCTGATGTGATGGTGACAGAGGAAGACCCTGGGAGACAGTAGCTACAGGCACTGGGGGAGGAAGTTATCTGTGCTTGGTCCTGTCTGTCCCTGTGCCCTTGCACCAGCAGCCCACTGGGTTGCAGCATTCACTACTAGACCACCCCCAGACTGTCTTCAAACCTTAAATCTTTAATCAACTATTTGCAAGAGTTCCCCACATAAAAACAAAATTTTAAAAGTGTCCCTTCCAGCTGCTGCCCTCACAGGTGGGAACCCCCCCACGCTGCAGAGCCAGGCTGGCAGGGGTGCTTGCTAAAATTAAACTGAGAGCAGCGGCCCCAGGGGCCAGGAGCTGCCAGAACAGTGACTCACTATGACTACAGAGAGCTGGAGCCCAAGGCAGCACCTCAGCAGAAGGCATTGGTGGTGGTGGAGTTGAGGATGCGGGAGCTGGTATCACACCTGGAGGCCTTTGAGAGTTCACGCTGTGGATACAAGAAGCAGAGAGAGGGATGAGGGGTGGGAGAGGGTGGCTGTGCCAAGGGCCACAGAGACAAAGCTGCTGCTGTTTGTTTGAGAAGACAAGGCCCTGCCCTCTTGCTTTAGGAGACGGGAGGATTTGCTCCCAATAGCTGGGAGAGAACTGGGAGCACCCCAGAAGCACTGGTACATAGTCCTGCCTCCTGCAGCTGGCAGCGCACACACTGCTGGTCCTGGGCAGCTCAGCCCCAACCTGGTGTCCCTCAGCTGCAGGGAGGGGAAGCAAGAGCACAGGCAGGGGATGGGCACAGACAGCAACATGCAGCTGCAGAAGGGAGCTCTGCAGGACCCTGCCTCTGCCCAGCAGGAGCCACACACATGCATGGGAGCAGGACTTGGTGTCAGGGCAGCTTCAGCACTTGCTCAACTGCCGTGGGGAGCAACGCTTACATCTGTACGAGGCAGAAGAGGTCAGTGCTTGGACATCAAAGTCTGAGGCCTCGGGGCAGCAAAGCTCCATCCCACAGCAGAGATCACCCACCTCTACACCCCTGGGAGCCTCTGCTCACCCAGCACACCTCATGCCCGCAGAACAAGCGGCACAGGGATCTCTCCCCCTGGGCTGAGAGCACAGCACGTGCACTGATGAAGCCATGCAGGCTGCAGGAAAAGGCTCCCACCGTCCCTTCTCCCCGTGACTGTTAGTACAGTGACAGAGCGCTGCTGCTGCCAGCTACCCAGGCCTCTCTGGGCTGGGATGGGACATGCCCTCCATGCCACATTGCTTTGAGCCATGTGGAGGTTCTCTGCTAAGCAGCTGGGAGCAGACCCAGGTCTGGAGGGCGGCTGCATTACTACAGCAGGGCTATGCAGGAGGCCTGGGCCATGTCAAAGGCACAGCTTTGCTCCTGCAGGGGCAGGCGGGAGCCAAGCATCACCATCTTCCTGTGTAAATATCAGATCCCCACTGGGCTGCTCAGGGCCTGCACACGATGGAGCAGCACTCGGCCTCGGCCACCAAACTTCAACTGAAGTTCCTGACACGGAGTCAGCAGCTGGTGCCGTGGGTGCTGGCAGGAGCAGCCGCTCTGCGCAGGGCAGAGGTTGGGCTGTGCACAGCGGTGGCCCTGCGGTGCTCTGGGAGGAGCAGAAGCACAGCCTGGGTGCAGCCCAGTGAGGGGAGGCACGTTCAGAAGAGGTGAATTACCGCAAACTCAGAATAGGTGCTGGCAACAGAATTAACGCTGTGGTTACGCTGGGCAGGGGCTGCAGGGCTGCACCCACCGCTCAGGGTGGTTCCGTTCAGCTGCGACAGGTTCTCCTTGTTCCGCTCCCTGTGTCCGGGCCGGGGGGGCTTCGCAGCCACGCGGATGGGGGTCCGAGCCTGGCCAAGCTGTGGGACGAGAGGCAGAGTGGGAGCTGAGGCAGTCTGCAGCAGTGCTGGACTTGCAGCTGCTGCCCTGCACTTCAAGCTCCTAAAACCCTGCATCATAGGTCTGAGACCCAGAAACAGCAGAAGTATGGGTTGGAGGAAGACTTCCTGCATGCTACCGCTCTCCTTTTAATTTGGGCAGTATTGGTCCCCCAGAACATCCTACCAGCAGCATGGCTGACCAGCAGAGCAGGTACCAACAGAGCAGCCTTTGTAGCCCAGGAGCACAGCTGTGCAGCTGAGCACAAGCTGCCCTGGCAGTGTCACACAGCAGCGTGGCACAGCAGTGCTGCACCAACCCACCCTGTGAGCAGGGATGCTCCACAAAGCCTCTCACCTTCCCTCCAGAGGGTGGCAGCCGAGACGTTGGTGAATGGAAGAGAGTTGCCCCAAAAGCTGAACGAATGGTGCTGTTGGGAGTGGCCGTGGAGAGGGAAGTGCCATTGAGCTGGAGGAAAGCAGAGCATACGGAGCGTGAGGAGGAAGGCAGGGGATGCTCACACCAGGAAAACCACAGCGGAAGCACTGGCTGCAGAGCAGGGTGACAGATCCCATTGTCCCCACAGAGAACAGAGATGCCTGCAGCCCACTCCCTGTACCCATTTACAGCATAAGATTCTTTCATGCTGCTGCTGCAATAAGCCTGGGCCCTTCTGACATCACTGTGAGACTAAATCCAGAGGGAGGGCTCTAAACACCTTTATTCTCACAGTACTTGTCTAGCTCAAGCCCTGGTCAGGTCTCAGCCAAGCACTCCATGCCCAGCACAGGCAGTTTACCTTCCTTACTTTGCCAGGCGTGTGGGGGCCAAGCACTCGACGCTTGATCGGAGTCCTTGGGGTGCTCCCATACATCATCTCCGTCTCAATCTGGCGGCTTTTCTTCAGGTGCTGTGTGAAAGACCTACGTCACTGATCTGAGCAGAGAGCAGAACACAGCTGGCTGCACAGCACCACGGAACTCCAACACTCAGTGCTGGGGAAGGACAGGCGCAAACACTACAGGTCTGCAGCAGCTGGGGCTCAACACAGATGCAGGCAGCCACCTGCCCTGCTGTTTGAAGAAGGCGACCGCACAGAGCCAGAAAAGAGCAGGAGGAGCCCCTCTGCCCCAGGGAGCTGGCAGCGAACCTGGGCTGGAACTGCTCTCCCTGCCAACAGCTCGGTGCCAAGCCATGACAGCATGGTCAGCTGTGCACTCACCCGCTCCTGTTTCTCCTTCTCTTTCTCCATGTGATACAGCTGCCACTGCTCTGTCACGTACTCCATGAACTGCTGTCCCTTCACCAGGAAAGGCTCCTCACGCTCCTGCTCCCAGGCCTGGATCCTGCTTTCAAGCTCCTCCTGCAGCTGCTCAGGACAGGAGGGCAGTGTAGGAGCTGTCGTACTGGACACAGCTCCCTACCCACAGACAGCCCTTGCTGGCGCTCCAAGCGCTGTGCTTCTCCCTGGTCAGTGTTACCTGTGCCTATTCAGGACTACAGCTTTTTCTCCAGGTCTGTACCCACCTTGGAAAGAGTCTTCTGCAGTTTTGCTCGCTGCTTCTCTTCTTTCAGCAGGCTCCCCCCACGGTTGGAGAAGCGGCTGGGGTCAGCTGTTTTCCTCTAGCACAGAGAAGTCAGGAGATAATGAGATGGGGCCCAGCCTCACTGCCCAGCACTCCCCTAGGCCCTCGAGGAAGTCACCTTAGTGGTGCAGCACACCTGCACAAGCTCTGTGCCTTGGGTCACACTGGTGCTCCAGGCACAGCATCCCATTCCCTCACCAACCCCTATGCACAGCCCAGAGATGTAGCACTACCCAATACCTCCAGCTCCAGAAACAGCTTCCAGCTTTCATCCCATTTCTGAACAGCCTCAAACAGCTCCTTGTGTGTTTCGTAGTAGCTTTTCACCTTCCCCACCTCAATGTCATGGAGCTGGAGCAAGACCTCTGTATAATCCTCTGGAGAGACACAGCAGCACGTTCAGGAAGCACCCAGGATCCCCGCACCACTCAGCAGCTCTTTTTGGCAGCAGGCCTGCTGAGCTCCCTCAAGGGAGTCAGTTACAGGAAGAGCCACCACCCACCATCGTGATAGGGACTGAAGGCGTCCCTCTGCTCCTGGCTGTAGAAGCATTTGTCCCAGTATTTAGCCAGCTCCACGCGGATCGCCTGAACCACAGACTTCATGTTCTGCAGCTTCAGCTCCTCCAGACGGTCTACTTCCAGCTTCAGCTGCCAACACAACCACAGCACAGACTCAGAAAGGAAGAATAGAAGAGCAAGACCAACGTAAGTTCTGCGTAATCCACCTCTAGTGAGCCAGCCATCAGCACCAACTCCCAGCTCTCTGTCCTTGAAGGCAGGATTTAGTCTGCTCACATTACGCCTGACTGCTGGAAGCTGCTCCTCCACTCCAGATGAGCAAACAAGTGAACCCCAGAGCTGCCCTGCCCTTACCCTCCCACTCCCAAATGCCATCAGGTGGTTCTTACAGCTTCTCTGGTTTTCGCTTTGGACCCGGTCATGTGCACTGCGAAGGACTGTCTCTCCTCCTCAGGAACCTGCAGCCTTTCCCAGAGCTCAGTGATTCTGGAGCGCAGCTCTGCACACATGGCTTCGTTCAGCGCCCGCCGCGCTTCCAGCTGCAGAGGGAAAGCGTGAGTTCAGCACTGCCTCAGCCTGGCGCTGAGGGATGCAAGGAGGCTGCTCACAGACTGCAGCTCTCACACCCCCTCTCACCCCCCAGCGCTTCCAAGCAAAAGCTTCTAGAAGTACATTCTAACACACAGGCTTCCTACAAACAAAACAGCCTTCACAGTGTGCTGCCAGGCAGCCTCCGCAGTGCCGTCAGTCGTGGCAGGGCCAGCTCAGCGTGCCAACGTACCTGCTGCAGCAGGCTCTGAAGGTTAGCGATGTTATCTGTGGACAAGCAGAAGGCCTCCTCATCCTCACACACCACGTCCCGCTCGAAGCTAGTGTCAGGGCTGTGCTCCAGCTCCGCCATGCAGAGGACGACCTGCCGCTTGATGCTGACAAATTCTTCTTGCCGTCGCTCCTGTAGGTGAGGAGCCCCATGAAGACCCAGTGGGTGCCTTCCAACCCTCCCTCCCCAGAGGTCCAGGCCCCTCCTGCTCACCTTCTCAGCACTGAGGGAGGCCACATGCCGTCGGTAGCGGTCCAGCTCGTCCAGGCTGGGCACGGCGCTGTCATCAATGCTGAACAGGGACACGCAGAGAATGTCACACAGGTTCTTATCCTGTTCCTGCAGGGCCTGCAGTTCCTGCTTCCTATCCTTCTTCTGCTTCAACAACACCTCCACGTGGGAATGCAAATCCTTCACCATCTGGAGGATGGTACTCCCCTCCTCTGTCTGAAAGAAGCCACAGATCAGGGTCTGTTCTCTGCAGCGCTTTTTGGAAGTAACTCAGGTACTCGGAAATCCTTGGGCGCAGAGCCGGGACGCAGCTCCAGAGCTCAGCAGGGCAGCCCCGGGACCCAGGCACAGCACTGCTTCCCGCCGGCCGCCTCACAACCGCCACCCAACGCCGGGGGGGGGGGGGCAGAAAGCCTTCGGCTCGGCCCAGCTTGGGCGGGGGAGGCTGCGGAGAGCCGCGGCCCTCACCTGGAAGGGCTCCACCCGCAGCTCCGCACAGAGGCCATCGATCTCCTTTCGGTACGCGGCGACGCTCCTCAGCAGTTGCTCCTTCAGGTGTTCCTCCTCCGCCACCATCATGTCCAGGAGGTTCTGCGGCACGGCACGCTCAGGACACGCCGAGGCCGCCGCCGCCCCCCGCCCGGCCCGGCGCCCCGCTCACCTTGATGTGCTTCTTCACCGCGCCGGTGCGCTCCAGCCGCAGCTCCTCGGGGATGCCGATCTCCTCCCAGATGTCCCGCAGCGCCGACAACGCGCGGTTCAGGCACGACACGGCCTCAGCCGCCAGCACCTCGCTGCGGGCAGCGGGGCCTGAGCAACACGACAGCCCGGGCCCGCCATCCCCCCGCGCCCAGCGGCCCAGAGCCCCGGCCCTAACTCGCGGCTCCCGGCCCCAGTCCCGGCCCCAGTCCCGGCCCCAGTCCCGGCCCCAGTCCCGGCCCCAACTCGCGGCTCCCGGCCCCGCACCTCTTCCTCATGGCTCCGCTCTGCGCCGCCACCGCCACCGCCCGTCCGGGGCCGCCGATTCAAACTCGCCTCCCGGCGGCACTCATTGGCTAAAGCGCCGCGACGGGTCCCGCCCACAACCGTCGCTCAGGTCCCGCCCCAAGCCGGGCGCCAGCCAATGGCGGCGAAACGCCTTCGGGGTTTCTACCAATCGCAAGCGAGAACGGCTACGCCAGGCCGCTCTGGGCACCGCTGCGCACGCGCGGACTTTAACACGGATCACGTGACCTGGAAACGTACGCGTCGCTCGGCTTTGAATGCCGCCCCAACGGCGCGGCGGCGTTTATTGAGCAGAACGGGGCGCCCCGCAGCCGCCAGCGCCGCCCCCCGCCCGGCCTCACGCCTTGGCCTCGGCCATGGCCTCCATCATGCGGGCGCTGCTGGTAATGGCGGTGGTCAGGAAGATGAACCTGCAGCCTGGGGACGGCACAGCGCCTCGTGCTCGGCGCCCTCGGGGCCGCGCCGCCCCCCCCCCCGTAGTGCCCCGTCCTACCTCGCTCCTTGCCCAGGAAGCGGAGAGCGGCGATCTCGGAGAAGGTGCAGCCCCCCAGGAAGAGCGCCAGCACGACGCGCTGCGCGTCCCCGCCCGCGCCCTCCTCCAGCGCACTGTCTGCGAGGCACGGGCTGGCACGCGCTGACCCCCGGCACCGACCCCCGGCACCGACCCCCGCCCTACCGGCCATCGCGAACTCGTTGCCGTTCAGCAGCCGCACCGCCTCCTCCAAACCCTGCCAGCCTCGGCGCTCCAGCACCTGCAGGACAGCGCAGGCTCGGGGCTGGGCCGCGCACAGAAGGCAGCGGTGCAGCCCCCGCAGGGGCGCGGGGCGGACGAGGCGGTGCTCTGCTCGGGGAGAGCACGAGGGGGGGCTCACCTGCTCGATGATCTTGCAGCTCAGGGGTGTGTAGGCCCCGCTGAAAACGTACGCCATGTCCGGAGGCATTTTCAGGTTGTACTCACCGTCCACCCGCGGGATCTGCAGGGAGGCACCACTTGATGTTGACAAAGGCACAGCTGGGCTGGGCTCTGCTGAGTCTGACTGAGTCCCAGGCAGGGCCAGCGGCAGGGACTGCCCTTGCAGCGGGGTCAGAGCAGCTGTGGCTGGCAAAGCAGGCTGGGGCACCCAGCAGCAGCCCAGCTCCTGTGCAGCGCGTGTGCCTGGCCGGCAGCTGAGGGCGTAGAGCCCTGGGGGTCGGGCACAGGCTGGGCACAACTCTTCTGCCAGCGCAGCAGCCCCCAGAGGACGTACCAAGCTCAACTTCTTGCTTATGGCTCGAAAGTTGCTCTTCTTGGCCAAGGAATTAAATGCATCTGTGATTTTTCCTGGAAAACAAGACAAGAAATGACAGAGTCTTTGGATGCATCACAGCGGCTGCACAGCATAAGCCAGGCTGAGGCACTGCCGGAAGATGGAGCAGCAGTAGGAGCTGTGGGGCCACACCACGTCCTCTTAGCACAGCAGCGCCCTGTTGTCCTGCTGTCCTGCCCTGGGCTTCCTGCAGCCTCTCACCTGCCGCTCGGTCTGTCACCAGCTTGCTGACTCTGCTCTCCACTGCTGTCAGGGTCTCTCCAGCTGTCTGCTCAGTCAGCAATCCGATGCGCTTGAGGTTGTGGAAGGTCAGCAAGTGCTCAGGCCCGTAGCTCTGAGGAAGGGAGTGGGCAGATCAGCACAAAGTCACGCGAGACAGCAGTGTGACACTGCCTCAGGGACACGCAGGCGCCCAGCGGGCTGCTTCAGGTAACTCAGTAGGGCGGGGGCAGGCAGAGAGCTCAGCCCCTGCTCTGACAGCCCCGGTGCCCCAGGTTCTCTCACCTGCAGGTACTGGGTCTTCAGGGAACGGTAGTCCTTGGGGATGAGACCTGTGGGGATGCCGTGGTGAACTGAGTGCACGGCCCCCCATGCTGACATCCGCCGAGCTCCTAGACTCCCCCTCACCATTCTCCGTGATGGACAGCAGGCACATCAGGCGCAAGCTCTCAATAGGGGACACCTGCATTGCAGTGGTGCTGTGAGCAGGCTGCCGGCCCACGCACGGCCCCGCAGTGCGGTGCAGCTCCTACCTGCCGGTCAATGTGCTCCTCGATGAAGCTGGTGCTCTCCCGGATGTCAAAACCCTCCAGTAGAGCTGTGGCAGGGGGGAGAGGCAGTCACTTCTTCCATCCCTGGGGCTCCCACCAGCCAGCTGAGGTAGAATCTGGTCTCAGCCTCCCCACTGAGCCTCGGGGAGAGGGGAAGGCTTGCAATGCTGGGCTGCCTGCCTTACCACGTGTCAGCCCTGTGGGGACCTCACAACCCACCCCAGCATGAAAGGTCTGGAGGGAGCTCCCAGCTTGTGAGGCAGCCCAGACCTGGGGCAATGAGGCTGGCATCAGAGCAAAGGTGGAAGAGCCAGACCTAGGGTGGGGGCAACAACAGGCACAGGGAACGGCCCTCACCGTGTTCAACCTTGATCATCTCCTGGAAGTCCTGCTTGGTTTTCTTTTTCATGATGGACTCACAGGCACCTATATCTGTACAGCCAAGAGTTTTCCACTGTGGAGCTGTAACAGGCTCCGCACGCAGTCCCACTGCAGGCACGCGCATGCAACAACACCCTCTGTTGCCCTGACCGCACTCCTAGGGACCACCAGGCCCTGCAACCCCCCTGCTGCCCTAGGGCTCAGGCACCCACTGCAGCAGCTGGGGCCTCCCGCTCCTTGCCGTCCCAGCACCTACGCAGACTCAACAGGCGATGCTCTTGTTTCAGTCCCTTCAGTTCCTGGGAGACAAAGTTCTTCATCTGCTTGATGTCCATGCCCTGGCGGCGCTGTGGGAGTAAGAGCATCCAAGGAGTGACCCAGCTGTGGAGGGATGATGCTGGGGAGCCCTGAGCACGAGGCTGTACGCACATCATACTGTGCCTGCAGGTTGCGTGACTTCTGGCTCAGGAAGCCAAACACACTGGAGAAGTGTTCGTTCCGAATCTGGCTGAAGATCTGCAGAAAGCACCGCAGCACCTGAGCTAATTGTTCCCCAAAGCTCAGGCCAGGTCAGCACAGCCCAACCAGGGGCCAGGCTTGCCCTGACCGAGAGTGAGAAGAGGCTGCACTCCACCAGTGTGGTTGCTGCCCCCTGGGCACGATTCAGCTCTGCCTGCAGGGGTGGTGCTGACAAGAGGTCAGGCTGTGCCCACACTTTGCTTCTACATCTCCACACGCAGCCCATGACAACCCAAGCCTCCAGACCCAGCAGTGCCCGGTCAGTCTCTGCTCAGCCTCCCCCCAGAGCACCAGAAAGGCCTGCTGCCACATAAGCAGGACTCACTTTGTCCTGGGCATTGAGCAGCACCTTAATGCTCTTGTCAGAAGAGGTGACTTCTGGCCCAAAATCCACACTCCCTACAGAGAAAGATGAAGAGTTGCAGAATCATAGCACGAATCACAGAACAACGGAATAGTTTGAGTTGGAAAGACCTTAAAGGCCTCGTTACAAACCCCCTTCCTAGCAGACCAGCCCCATCCAGACTTCTAAGCACTTCCAAGGAGGGGGCATCCACAGCCTTTCTAGGCAGCCCGTGCCAGGGCCTCACTGCCCTCAGAGACAAGAATTTCTTCCCAACGTCTAATCCAAATCTACTCTCAAGTTTAAAGCTCCTACCCTGTGTTCCATCACTACTTTTTAAAAGCCCTTTTAAAAGACCTCTCTCTTTCTTACAAGCCCCTTTCACACAGTGCAACGCTGCAATAAGGTGCCCCCCAAACTGCTTTGCCCCAGCACCAGTGACGTCCCTGCAGAGATAGGTAACACTTGCCCTGATGTTTCTGCAGGCAGGTCTGCCCTCATGCATGGTCTTTAGCGCCATCCCACGCCAGGACCGAGCACAAACCTCAGGAGAGCCTGACGTCACCCCATCACTGACCCCCACTTACCACACTTGATACGGAAGGTGTCGTCCACCAGCCCCTCGTACACCACCTGCGAGCACAGCGCTGTGACGTAGTCTGTGTCTGCAATGAGGACTCATTTGCTGCCTGTTTTCCCCCTGCCAGGCCCAGTCCTGCTGCTTCTCACTCCCACTGGTGCCAGCCCTTACCTCTGTCCATAAGGAAGATGTTCCCAATCTCTGGCTTTCTGCCCTGCCCCTCACTCTCGCTCTCCTCCTCCAGGTCTCGCCACAGCTCATAGCTCATCTGCAGGGGGAAAATTGTGCCAATGCCTGTGACCAAGAGCTGCAGTACACAGCAGGGACCTGGTGCCAGCACAGCCCCCGGCCATGTGGGGGTGCTGCTGCAGCTCCCCCTGCGCAGCCTCAGCTCAGGCACAGGAAACAGGGCACTCCCACCACCCTTCACTCCAGAGGTGAGAGCACACCACAAGCCCTGCCATACCTACCTTGGCACACCTCCCAATCCCATAGGCCCTGCTGAATGGCCCATACAGGGAGTTCAGCAGCTGCAGGGCTCGAGCAACGGAGTTGATCCAGCGGTGATCTCCCTCCTGCAAGGAGCACAGCAGCATCAGGATCTGTGCACTCTGTGCAGGCTAGACTGGAAATAACTGCTTGCATTGGGGGCCTCAATCAGACACAATGTGGGGCTGAGGGTCCGTGGGCTCCCACTGCACACACATAGGAACAAGCTTGGTGCCCAGTGCTGCTCAGGAGGAGCCACCACAGCACGTCCAGGTGGCTGCCCCAGGCAAAACCTTCCCCAGGACAGCAGCAGCAGCCTGCAGTGAGGGCTGGGAGGACTGAGCAGGACATTAGCTTCCTGAACAAAGCCCTCCTAGCCTGAGCCCAGGGACAAGTGACAGAAGGGCTGCCATCACACGGGCAGCACCCAGCAGACCATCCCTACTGACCAAGAAATAGTCCCGGAAGAACTCAGGCAGCTCCATACTGATGATATCTTCATCCAGGGGAAGCAAGTAGAAGGACCACTCATCACAGGTGACATCTGAGCGCGGGACAGGAAAAGGCAACAGTCATCCACCCCCAGCAAAAACAGCCCCAGGAATCCCAGCAACTCCTCACACATGGGAGAAAAACAGAGATGGGTCCTCTCCAAGGGGACTCATCCTTTCCTCTACCCAGGCAGGGGCAGAACCGCTGTTCCTCCCAGGAGATCCTGGTACTGGGGTTCAGAGGTGATCAGAGCGCTGTGAGCGAAGTGTAACACACCACAGACCTACTCACCGCCAAAGACTCCCTCTTCCTCTAACACCATCTCACAAGCATAGAACTGCAAAATAAGAAAAGATCCTCAGTCACGCTCCACCACAGGCAGGGAAGGAGCTCCCTGTAGTAACAGGACTTGTCTTCTTCCCAGACACCGTAACACTTGACTTTAGTGAAACAGCTCTGGTTAAGAAACAAATTCCAATTTTGACAGGAGGGGCAGGAAGCGTGAGGGTCAGACCAGGTCACAAGGGGTAGAAGCAGCACTGACCTTCTGGGGGCTGAAGATGATCTTGTATTTCCGGCTCCTCCCTGACATCTTGTCAGCATTGACAATGTCTGCAAAGAACACGTGCGCAGACCTCATAGACACTACTTGCCACCCTGAACTGCCACAACTTGTCCCACAGGATAAGGTGTGGGGCACTGCTCCTCACAGCACCCGGGGCAGAAAGAAGAACCTGGGAACAGGGCCATTTTCCAGCCCAGGAATAAGTGGCCTGTAGGGGCCGGAAGGTACTGGCAGTGCAGAGCTGCAGTCAGTGCAGCATGAGATGATCCACACGCCACATCCTGACCTTCCCAGAGCACCTGCAGAGCGCAGAGCTGAGGGATCACGAACCAACGACAGGGGATGGTGAACCAACGACAGGCCACAGGCAGCTACCCGCCGGGCGCTCACCTGCAATGTACCGCATCGTCCGGACCCGCGGCCGCACAAGGAAGCAGAGCCTGGGAACAGGGCGACAGGGTGTGAGAGCTGCCACCTGAGCCCCGCGGCGCAGGGAGGTGCGTCCCGAGCAGACGGGCAGCACTCACTGATCGCTGGTGCTGGGGGCCGGCCGGTTCTCCACCCTGTACAGCTTGTCCACCTCGTGCTGCTGCGGGGCGAGGCGTGGAGCTGTCAGCGGGCGGTGCCGGCACCCCCGGTCCCGACCCCTGGCCCCGCGATACCTTCAGGACGGAGACGTTGGCGATGCGGTCCAGGGGGCTCATCAGGTCGGGCTCGATGAATAGGTCCTTCCTGCCTGGCAGCTGCGGGCGGTCGGGCGGCGTGGGGCGGCGCCGGGAAACCCCGCACCCCGGGCCCCATCCCCGCGCCGACCCCCGGGGCCGCTCCCCTTTCCCGGCCCTCTCCAGCGCCCCCCGCCTGCCCGCACCTGCTCCAGCAAGTAGATGAGCTGGTCCCGCGCCAGCCTCTTCAGGATACCGAAGTCGGGCGGCTCGGGCGCGTCACGCCGGGCGGTGGAGGCCATAGCGGAGCCGCCGCGGGGCCCGGAACGCCGCCGCGAGCCCGCAGTTCCGCCGGAACCCACGCACCCCGGGACCTCGCGCGCCGGAAGCACCGGGAGTCACGTGATACCGCGCTGGAAGCGCCAAGGCAATCAGGAAGGAGACGCGAGGTGGCACTCGCCACATTTATTGCCCCGTTCCCGGCCCCGGCGCCACGCCGCGCTCCTCCAGCAGCCGCTGCAGCGCCGCCTCCAGCGGCGGGCTCGTCCCGCGCAGGCCGGCCACCACTTCCGCCGCCCACCGGAAGTACTCCTGCACGCGCTCCTCCGACCATCCTGCGGGGACACGCGCGGCGCGTCACTTCCGGCGCCGGGCTCGCGGGGGGCGGGGCCAGGCCGGGCGCCGGGCGCACCTTTGGGCGCGCAGCGCTGCAGGTCCCGCAGGTTGTGCAGTTTGTCCGCCAGTTTCACCAGCTTGGCTCGGGCGCTGCTGCCCGCCGCCCGCTCCACCTGCAGCCGCTTTCGCTCCGCCTTCGGCAGCGTTTTGTCGTCCGTCAGCTCCTCCACCACGCGCCGCACCTCGGGCCCGAAGCGCTCCTCGATCTCGGGCAGCGTCGTGTCCGTGTCCTCCACCGTGTCGTGCAGCAGCGCGGCCTGCGAGGGCCGGGGGGAGTTTGGGGGTGCGGGGGGACGGTCAGGGCCGGCCGGGCGGCGGCGTCCCCACCGCGGCCCCGGGCGGAGCGGTACCTGCAGCACCACAACGTCCGTGACCCCCGCCTCGTGTGACAGGATCCGCGCCACGCCTGGAACGGGAGACACCGGGAGGGGTGGGGAAGGAGGGGGTCGAGGCCCCGCGCCGCGCGCTCCACCGTAGGGGGGCTGACCGGACGGGAGCGGCACCGAGGCCTCGCTGCAGGGATCGCGAGAAGGGCAACGGGACGGGAGCGGCCGCGCACCGATGGGGTGGTTGATGTACGGGGTGCCCTCGGGGTCCTTCCGCCGCTGCTCCCTGTGTTTCCAGGCCGCGAAGTCCGCCGCCTCCAGCAACCGCGCCGCATCCGAACCCATGGCCGTTGTGCGGGCTGCGCCGGCGCGCCGGAAAATATGCAAACGCCAGGAGCGGGCGGAGCCGAGCCCAGTTCAACAGTTTATTGCGACCCGTCCAGCCCTCGCGGCAGGCGGTACAGCAGCGAGCCGTCCGGGGCGCGCACCTCCGTGCCGGCGGCTGGAGCGGGGCCCGGGTCCGGACGCTGCGGGGCGGCGCGCAGCGCTCGCGCGTCCTGGCGCAGGCGGCGGTGCTGCGGGAGGCGGCTCCGGCTCCGCAGCACCCGGCGCACCACGTCGGGGCTGACGCCGAAGCCTTCGGCCAGGCGCTCCAGCGGCCACTCTTCGGGCAGTTCCTGCCGCAGGAACCTGCGGGTGCAGCGCGGTCACCGCCTACCGCTCCGTCCCGCCTCGCCCCGCCCGGACCCGGCCGCTCACCGCATCTGCTCCATCGCCTCCCAGGTCAGCGTCCGCTCGGGGGCGCCGCGCTCCGCGCCCAGCTCCCGCCGCAGCCGCGCCGCTGCCCGCCGCCTCCGTGCTCTGCGGGGAGAGAAAAGTGTGAGCGCCCCGGTCCTCCCGACCGCGGACTCGGCCCCGCAGTCCCGTACCTCTCGGCCTCATCCGGCACCGCGTCCGGCGGCTCCGGCTCCCCGTACCACGTTGCTGCCGCCCGCCGCGGGGATGCGGCCAGCAGCGCACCGACCCGCAGCCCGCGCCGCACCAACGCCGCCATGACCCGAGGGGGGGCGGGGCGGGGGCGGCCCGAGGGCGGGGGAAGCGCGGGAGGCACGGCGGGGTCTGGGCACGGCGTGCCGCTCCCCGGCATCTAGGGCTGCGGGCTCCGGCGCCGCCGATAGCCGGCAGTTCGGAGTCCTGACGGACAACTGGGCCTCGACGTCCCGCAGGACCCCATGACCAGAGCGAGGGCGCTCGGATGGAACCCCCAGCAGCCGCGGTGCAGGGAGCGGCGCCCAGGGGGGGGGCTGGAGCCGCCGCTGCCCCTTACCTGTGCTGCTCACATCGTGGAAATTCACGGCGCTGGCGCAGCGCGTGTGCAGCACGAGAGCGGCAGAGGCTACGAGGAGCCGCCGTGCTGCCGCACCGCTGAAGCCGCCATCACCCGTGGCCTTGCCTGCACGGGCCGGGCATCCCAACGAACAGCGGTGAGCGCTGCCTGCGCAAAGCGGCCGCCCGACGTCACCTGCAGGAGCACAGACAGCGTGTGGGCAGCTGCACAGCTGCAGCCTGCTGTTCTTTGTGGCCGCCGCACAGCCCCCCAACCGCGGAACAGCTCCACCCAACCCTCCTGCTTCTCCATCAGAACTTCCATGTCTGCACGGCTCTGCACGCAAAGCACACGAAGGCAGAACCAAAGTGAGATAATCGCACTCACATCCTTCCGCCTTTTTTCTGGCTGCAGAGAGCTGCCAGGCGCTCATCGGCCTTCCCCTGGTTTTAGTGCAGGGCTGGGTAGCTGCTGCTGGCTCTGCAGCCCGGCTCCACAAGTTGCCCCTGTCCTGGGGCTGGGCGCTGCACTGCACCGTGTGCTGCTCTCGGAAAGGGATGCTCTGCCCTCGAACCAACAGCGTGCCTGGGGCAGGGTGCTGGCCAGCCAGCAGCTGTACCCTGGTGCTGTGCTTACGAGCACACGGCCGTCCTGAAGGCCACACGGTGCCTCTTGGGAACGAGAGGGGGATGATGGTCATCAAGGGGGCAGGCTGCTGTGCCTGCGGTGCGTCCCAAAGAAACTGCGTCTGGAAGGAGAGAAAGCGGTTGTAGCTTAGCTCTGGAGACCCTTGATGAGAGACAGGAAGGAAAAGTCTTCCATGCTGGTGCTCACTACACATCTCCCCGCATTTGCTCTCCTGCACACACCTCAGCCTTAGATTCAAATCATCCAGGTGGGCGGCGTCTGATCTGCCTGCAGCAGAGCTCAGAGGCTCCCATGCACTGCCTGTAACATCGCCCTGAGCTGCAGCAGGGTTTGTGGAAAGAAACACAAGCCACAGCCTTGTGGGGAGGCTTCAGTGATGAAGGATCTGACCCATCCCTGTACAGTCCTTTGCTTCTGAAAAGATCTGCCCAGAGCTAGGGTGGAACTCGTGGTTTCAAGTTCTGCTTTGCTTTGTCTGGGAGCAGAAAAGGCAGCTACCATCAGTTCTTACAGATCAGATCGCACCTTACACTTGTTTTGTTAAATTAAAGGGACGTTTCCAATTTGCTGTAAGGCATAGAATACTCCCACAGCCCACATAATTCCTGCAATTCTGGTATCTGGAGTTTGTCAGCATCCTTGCAAGGTGTGCTGTCCTTCCAAGCAGGAGTGGAAGGCCTTTATGGAAGCAGGTGGTGCCACAGGAGAGGACCTTGCAAGGCTTTTCACAACTGCCAGTCAACAATTAGCACTTTCTCCACATATCAGATATCAGCCATCAGTTCTGCTGCAGCCCTTACAGCCCACTGGAGTCCAGTGATGACAGACTGCTGGCTTTCTCCTCATCTGATTTCAGAACACTGGCACCTGTGGCCAGGTTTGGGAACTGTAGGCAAGCAAATCTAGCTACAAATTTTCCGTGGGCGTAATCCCTGCACGGCCCAGGTTTCTTCAGCTGTGCACCTTGAAATAATCCAGGACGTGACAGTGGCAAAGCCAAGGGCTTAGACTACAGCAAGCTCTTGCAGAGCAAACATGACTGTCAAGGGGAAGCGCCACACCAAGGACTGAGCTCTAATGTGTTTCCAGCACGTGTGCTGTCAGGAGATGTGCAAGGGGCTCTTCACCTTCCATGGGTGGGGGCTGTGTAACACAGAGGGTGGGGGGTTTAGGAAGAGGCACTGCTTGCAGTGCAGAATTCACCAAGATATTTTTAGGTATTTCTACACTTCCACTCAGACCCTGTTTGCTGCTTGTGCTTCTTTGCCATGCTCCTGGCACTCATAGCTCAGAGAACTCCTGCTCAGGAATTAATCTTACTTAGACAGGAGAACCTTACGGCCCTGAAGAAGCAGACCACGCCGTGCTGCACGTGGGGACAGCGAAAGGCAGTGTTATCAGACTGTCTTTTGGAATGAGAATGAGGGACCTTCTGAAGAAAGGTGCCCAGGGGCTCTGTGTGAGTGCCTGGCGTGCCCCCAGCCCTTGTAGGAGAAAAAGACCCGAGGACCCGGGCGGCACGTTGGACCTCGTTTAAATGAGCCGCATCCTGCCACAAGCGGCGGCGTCCTGTGGCGGCCTCGTAGAACCATCGGGGCAAGCTTCAGTTACCTGCATCTCAGAGGTAACAGCGCAGGGCCTGTGGCTGTCAGATGATCTCTCAGTCGTGGGAAGCAGCTGGGAGAGCTGATCCACGATGCCCAGGCCTTGGATAAGGTTCTTACGCCTTGCAAGAGCATTCACTCTTTTCTTCTCTTCATTTTCCAGAATATCCTGAGGCTGCATGGAGTCATACTGCACGTGCTCTGTCTTGGGAAAGAAACACCCGACTTACAGCAAAGTTGAAACTACAGAAATGGGCGAGAGATACAAAACTGCAAACTGCTCTGAGCCCTACGGGGAATTACAGACCTCAGGGTGGAGTAGGATGAAAATCCCTATGATTGCACAGCAGCAAAGGGCAGCACTGCTTCCAGGTGCCTCCTGGCACAAGCTGTCAGCCCCACAGGACTTCATGGAGGGGCCTCATCTCCTTAGGAGATACCCATGGCCCAGTGCTGCTCCTAGAGCCACAGACTGCCTTTATATACCATGGATGAGCACAGACGAAAACAAGGTACCTTTTTATCCCACATCTTTGTGCTTCTGTAGGTGAAGTGGGTTGCAGAAGCTGAGGTTTTGTTGTGGATCATGGATTTGTCTGCGGGCGACTCTCCCTGCAGCCCTTCCTTCCTCTCTTTTTTCTTCTTGCTGTTAACAGCTTCTAACTTTTCTTTCTTCATGCGAATTTCTTCCAGTTGTTGCCTGCCACAGAAGAGCTGTTCTGGTCACTGGTTCCATAAGAGGCATAATAGCAAAACTGCAAAGACTTCAGTCTGAGGACATTTTACTGCAGTCAAGTACTGTAGTGAATAACCATAAAGAAAGCACGCCAAGAAATGAGGTAGGAGTACTTTTAAGAGAGCCTCTCACTGCTGTAAGAAATGCCCATGAATTAGTCTGTGCCTGCCAGAAGGGGGAGAACAGTGGAGGACGTTTCAACATGTGCCTCCGGATTCCAAAAGCCAGTGGAATACTGCATTTGCTCTCAAAGTTACTGCTACAGGAGTTGCTTTGCCATGGCAACAAAGTACAGCAGACTGCCCGCATCCAGCTCTCCACAACCTCCTTGCTTCCCTTAAACAACACACTCACTCCCAGCAAAGGGTCACAAGGAAGCAGTGTGTGAACGTACCTGGTACACTCCTCTCGTGCTCTGGACGATGCAGTCTCCTTGAAGAGGGAGCTGCTCTGCTTGAAAAACGGCCCATACTTGTCAGTGCCACACGCTGGGTAAATGCGCCGGTAGCTGCCCAGGTGGGAGTTCTCATAGTCCTCTGCCTCAGAGAGCCAGGCTGCCTGGCTGCTCTCTGCCTCTTCATGTCTGCAAACCAGGAGACAGCGCAGGCAGGCGGGGAGCTGCGATGGGAGGCTCCAGGTATTTTACAATGGACACAGCTCAATTTTTGCTCCTGTCTTTCCCTGTCTGAGAGCCCGTTTCACACATGTTCGCTGCTGGGAACCAACATTGTTCCCACTTGTTCATTCTCTACATGGCGAATGCTGCTGGAGCATTTTCAGATGCCTCCCCTGCTGCTGGGATCACACCCTGCCCCTCAGCCTTTTCACCCAACTAAGCTGGTTGCCCAGAGTTCAATTACAGTGTTTGCGTTCAAGGAGCGTTTGCCACTCTGCACTCAGCTGGGAGCTTTCAGCCAGCAGGGAGCTGGGAGCAGTGGAGGCTGCAGGGACATGAAGTGTACGGAGTAACGAGCTCAGCTTCCCCAGCCTGCAGTTTTCTCAGGTTTCCTAATTGAAATGGGAGCTGGAGGCAGTTCCTGCCTTGCCCTGCGCAGCAGGAAAAGCCCGGGCAGCAGCCTCATCTAAAATGGCCTCGAGAGGCCGTGCAGATTAATAAATCATGAAAGGGCACGCAGACAAAGAAGGGTGGGAAAATGCTCAACCCTGGGAAAGGAATCCTGCTTTGGAGAAGAGCCCTGTGCCCCGCGGTGCTCCTGGGCCCTGAAGCAGTGCTATGACCCGTCCTGTGAGAGTCACTGTGAGACCAGGAACGTACTGCTGCAGCCTGACAGCGCTGAAGGACACCAGGACATGCAGCTCTAAGGGGAAGCCCAGGGATCACGGCACAGGGAGTCCCAGATCTCTTCTGAGATCAGTTCTGGACAGGCTCTCCCTATCCAGAGTGCAGATGGCTTGGGTGGGCTCTGTCAGAGGCTGCACAGAGCCACGGCTTCAAGTAGCACAAGTGTCAGAGCCTGTCTTCTCCTCACAGGGACCTGCAGTGCCATTGGGAAGGCAATACCTGGACACACGAGGAGACCGATGAGCCTGCAGGAGTCGTTCCTTTGCCTGCTGTTTGTCTTCCTCCATCGCTTTCCTTTTGCTACAGGCGTGCACATTTATCAAGTTGATGGTGTCAAAGAGAAGAGCATCCTTCACCTCATGGTCCAGGTGAGAGTCTGTGGTGAAGCTGGGAGAGTGGTTCACCTGCCAAAACAAACAGCTCATCGAGCCTGGCAGCTCCCAGCGCTCAGACTGCTGCCTGCAGCAAGCTTGCTGGCCCCAGCCTGCCCCTCTGCATGTTTTCCATTGATCAAAGAATATCCAGTGTTGGAAGGGACCACAGAGATCGAGTCCAACTGATGTTCTCCCCCATAACAGTGGCTGAAAGCAGGAGGGCGTGCACACCATCTGGTTCTGGCCTTCTGTCCCTCCTGCCGTATGATGCTCATCCACACTGCAGGCTGCTCAGCTCTGTGCCCCCACAGGACTGCAAGAGCAGAGCAGCTGTCATAAATTCAGGATGCTGTTACAGATCGAGGAGCGCCGAGGTTCAGGAAACTCCCTGCTGTTAGAGAGGGTGTGTAGGGAACAGGCTCTTAGATCTGGTGGATTAAGGTTGCTTGGCCTGCAGAAGGTTGTTTGGCCACTCGTATTCATAACCCGTTTAATTCTGAGAGTGAGGTGGCCTGGTTTAATCAAATAAGTTCTGTTCAGCCCACCAGCCCTTGTTCTTGAGCTTCCTGCACACAAGCAAGCTTTCAACTATCTGCTACTTTCAGAGCTGCTTCAACACAGCAGGAGATTTCTTCCTCACCTCTAGTAGCCAAGGTTTCAGATTTCTGTCTAGCAAAATATCAAAACCCAGTATCTCAAAACAGGCACAGCTGGTAGTGTGGTTAGGAAAGCAGCTTTGGTAATTGTGCTTCACCACAGGGTGAGCTGAAATAAGAGTCTTTATAATTATATCTTCAATATCTTCCCAGAGTTTTGTTGTGTTGTAGCTGTTATCCATCATCCAGGCATTCAGGGTGGAGAGTTTCCTGTGTGGAAGACAGGAGATGATAAGAGCTCACCTGTGACGTCACACTTCACCCCAAAAATGGTGGAAGTAAACAGCTGTCTGCAGTGCAGCTTTCCTGCAGGATGTCACGGAGGCGCTGTGGTACCTGGACAAGACTGTACCTCTTACTGCCCATTGTGTCATCCTGGACAAAGTTTGCATTACGTTTGTTGATAGCATAATTGGTCAAATGCATGCAGATGTCACCCTGAGAGAGGAACCACAAGAGACCTTCATTTACACTTCATTGCAGAGCATCAATGGAAACAACAATTCCGTTAGTACTGATCTAGCCACCAGCTTCACCCGCTTTTACCTCCTCTCTATAGCACTGGTTTTCAGCTTTGATTCACCAGAAGTTAGAGCTAACTGCTCTACTTGCTTCACTGTCCCAGTCTCCTGGGTGGAGCACAGGAGTCAGCTCCACAGGCACTGTTCCAGTTGTAACCTCACCACTGAACAAGGGACTCCCCAGGGCAGAAGCTGCAGCACATTTCTGCACTCGTCCTCTTTACTCACGTGAAGCAGAAGGCCTCTCCAAGACATAAACGTGTTGGAGTGACAGAGGGCAGGTAATTGTGCAGCTCTGGGAGAGGTGCCCCTTGCATCAGACTGACGAGAGGGCCACAATCCAACAGACTCCACGTTCTTTAGGGATTTTATACACCACAGACCCCTGCTTAGAAAGGCGCAGTGTCAAGGCCTGGACCTTTCTTCCTTTCTTTCCCATTTCCCCTCCTTGTCTCCTAGGCTGTTCCACTACCACCAGGTAAGCTCCAGGTCTCTGCCCGAAGTACAGGTGGACGAGGAATGGTACAGACCCAAGAGCACTCACAGAGGCAAGAAGCAGCAGCAGTGTTGCCTAGAGACACTGCGGGGTCTCCATCTGTGCAGATTTTCATTACCTAACTGGGTGAAACCTCGGAGGAATCACATTTGAAATTATTGTTGGCCCAGTTTTGAGCAGAAGGCTGGACTTGAGACCTTCCTAGGTTCCTCCAAATCCAGACACCTCTAAGATTCTGTGATAATGTCATTAGAAAGCCTAGATGTGGGACCTGGGATGTACTTCAGACACCCCCAAATACCTTCTGTGTGGAGGAGGTGCAGAGGGAGGAGAGAGCAGGAAAAAAGAAAACCGAGTCCCATAAAACCTACCAGTCCCTGCCTTTTCAGGGTATGGAATGCCCCTAGGACAAATTAGGGACCAAAAGCTACAGACACTACATCAGTTTTTTGTAATCCTCCCCTTCTATTTTTTTTTTACCAGGTTTCTCCTTCTGGGATCGATGTACCTCATGGTGGCAAACCGGGCCAGACCCTCCTTGTAGACAAAAATCCTCAGTGGGTCACAAGATGTGACCAGCACATAGATACGCATGTCAAACTTAAAGCCATCAATAAGGAAAGGCTGCGAGGAAAAAGGCAGGAGCAAGCGTGAGATAAGGGAACATTGCTGGGTGTGCTGCTGAGTCCCCAAGGCCAGCTGCTCCACCTGCACTGCCTGCGCCACTTCCAGCAGCGAGGAGGAAGACAAGCTGTGCCCCTGGCTTCAGGAGACACGGGGCAAAGGACGAGGAGCAGGCAGGGTGCGGGAAGAGCAAGGGAGCTGCAGTCCTTCCCCGTGCCTCAGGTCATCCCCCTACCTTAGAGATATACTGCTGACAGATCATGTGCTCTCCGTGCCTGATCTCCCCTGGGTCGCGTGTGATGAAGATGCCTCGGCCTTGGCAGCCGCTGTCGGGCTTGCAGATGAACGTTCTGTTCTTCCTCCTGCGCCTGTAGGCCTGGAAGTCCCCATAGCTGTGCAACGAAGGGCTGACTGTTACAGGCTGCAGAACACGAGCCCCTCACTTCTCTGGTAACACTCAGACATTCAAACTACTGTGCTAACAACAGACCTAAGTTCTGCAGCAGGGAAATAGTACAGCAATTGCTGGCTTACATCAGGAATACGTTATTTAGTCCTTGAGCAACCTGACAAAGCTCTTCCAGTTCCAGCTTTTTCTTGCACACATCTCTACCTCTACCAGGAGTTTCATGGGAAACATTCAGCACTATTTGTACAGGAGCCAGTGAGGGTTTTGGCTCTGCTGCTGCAGAGGGATCGGGGAAAAATAAAACACTGCCTACAAAGGAGGAGGAGGTCACAAGCCCTTACATCCCCTTTTGTTCCAGCTCATCAGCAAATGGTCAGCAGGCTGCAGCCAGGATGCTGTGAGCAGGGTGCAGAGGCTCACAGGCTGCACTCACATATCGCATCACCTGCTTGGTCTGCAAAAGCAGCTCCACTGGGATATGATGCCTTGAAGAGTCAAGCCCACATGCCAGTTAATTATTTGCTGTTGATGGAGGAACACTGTCTCTGTACTGCAGGGAAATGAGGAGCCATACCGACCTTTTTTGCGTGAGCGGTGGGCACTGAACCCAGCCTGCGTGGGGAGAGAGCCTCTTCTGCTCTGCATTTACCTCTGCTGTTCCCGGTGAGCTGCAGAGGGACGTTCCCCAGAAACACAGATGTTATGCTTCTCATCCTGCCCTTTGGCTTTCAGGGCAGGTCCCCTCTTCCGAGGTTCAGCTCTTTGGCCACTGAGCACAGTAAACATCGTAGGGGATGTCATTCCACAGGAAACCTCAGAGGCCATTCCCATCCAAGCCCTAGCTGTGAAGCACAGTGCTTCTCACTTCCTGATTTCATACCCCTGTTCTCTGCTGCATTCATGTGTATCACTCACTCAGCTGGCAGGCTCCACGTGCGGGGAAAAATATTGTACTCCTTGGGGAAGAGTTTGAGCATGCGGTTGAGGTTGCGAGCCAACAAATCCTTCCGGCAGATCTCAATCATGCCAGGAAAATGGTTGATTTTCTGAAAGAGGTGCAGAAGAAAAACAGAGTTGTCAGTGATAATCCTTGAGGTCAAGGAAAGGCAGTGTATGGAGAAACAAGCACGCAGAACAGGAAGCCAGGCCAGTTGTTGCCTTGAACGCCTGCTGAAGGACAAGAGTTCGCCAACTGCCTTATCTGACTTCAGCAGCGTGATTTATCTGCTCATTCCATCTCAGCCCTGAAGCTCTGCCTTCCTACAGTATTGCAGCTTCTGAAAGGGAGCAGCTTGTCAGCAAGAGCCATTTATTTCACTCTACATTCAAGGGGCTGGCAGCCTTCCAGCTCCCCACTGACTGTCAGACTGTTACTGATGGCATCACTGCAGACACAACAGAAGCAGCGACCGATGAACCCGTGCATCTGGGACCAACACACAGAACGTGGGGCACAAGCGCTACTTTTAGACAAATCGGTTTTTGTTCTGCAACACTTTGTTCCACTAACAGCTCCGTCTCGTCCTCCTGTCCTGAGCTCTTCCTGCTCCCCTCTCCATGGGGAACTTACCTGAAACCGCTTCATTTCCATCACACGTTCCAGAGAGACAGAGCAGTCAGTCCAGTACACCGTCCACTCCTCGTTTTCTCCCGCTTCTCTCAGCCCGCAGCACAGCGCAGCACGACGCACTGTGTGGAAGGAAGCACAGACAAAGGTCCAGGGGGAGGATACGAATGCCAGGGACGGTTAAATCCCCAGAGTAAACAGGAGGGTGGGCAAAACTCTTCAAGCTGCACTGCCACCCCCAGGGATGACAAGGTCTAAGCAGGACCCTTCAGAAGACATCAGAAACACAAACTCTATCCGCTAAATTCAACACAGCCTCTGCCTGCAGGTGCACTGGGAACCATCGGCCTGCAAGTCCACTTGCCTTGGGGTTCCAGAACATCCCCTGCATTACAGCAGGCTTGAATCCACCCTGGGTTTGATGCCACACAGCTAAATACAGGTCTTTGAAAGGTGTTGGTTTCACCTTCAAAATCAAAGGCTAATTGGTAGCAGAATGCATGAGCTTTGGAGTGGAAGGCTGTTGCTGCAATGATTAGTGTCGGTGCCAATTCTGAATTTGCCCTCTTACACAGCTGGGGAGTTGATGAACGAACCACCTGTGAAACAGAAGCAGGTTAGGAAACACAGGGGGCAGCTCTAAGTCAGAGGCCTCTGTCTTTCCACACACCCACAGCCAGGTGGCCAGAACTGCCCAACAGCCCACATGCTATTGAGGCCGTTTGGGCCCTCCTCCATCACAACCCTGCCACCTTGCATTGGCTGTTGCCTTGTTGCTTATTCTGGGCTGACCAGCTCGGCCCAGCAGCACCACAAAGAGCAGCCCTGGGCACCACAGCTCTGGAGGTGGGCATTAAGCTCCTATGGAGCTCCAAACGCCACACCATGTTCTGTCGTGGATCCTCATCCACCTCCCATCACCAAAGCTCCTGAGCATGGCCGCAGGTGAAACACGTGTCGCTCTGGGTGAAAACAGCATTCCTCACACAGCTGACAAGGCTGTGACCTTCAGCAATGCAAACACAGTAGTAATGCTAGAGTAGTCATTAGCAAATTGACTAATAACATCCATCAAATCGTTCTTTTGAGAAATAGCTTGTGGCAGCAAAGAAGAGCGAGACAGGAGCCTGAAGCAGCTGCCTAGAGCACGTCATTGCAGAGGAATATCAAAGAGATATCGCAGCTACTGATCCAGCCTGCTGCACCGCCTGCTTCAACTTAAACTGTTTGTAGCTTTCACTCCATTTTCCCAAGCACACCTACCATCCTGCACTGTAACTGCCTCCAGCCAAACCCTTCTCACCAATTTTAGCAGGAGTGTGGCACATACAGGAACGGAGGGTGGTGAGGGCTTGCAATGCTGCTGTGCAGCTTGGGTCTCTTTAAAGCACAAAGCTCCTCAGCCCACAGTGGAGAATATTCACAGGGATCCAAGTCGCTGACAGGCAGTAAACACATAACACAGAGGTGACTCTGCAGTGGAAATTCAATACCAGCCCACCCCGCCAGCTGAACCTGCACAGCTTGCTGCAGGCGGGCTCCATCCTTGGGGCCGCATCCTCGGACTTACCGCTCTCGTACTTGCAGCTGCTCAGGTTAATGGATGGGATGCTGGAATTGAAAGAGACGACACAAGAGCTGCTCAGTGAGGCGACCAGCCCAAGGGGAGTGGGCACAAAGGAGACAACTGTCCACCACACCCACACACCCCACAGAGCCAACTGCCAAGTCCGGCCCATCGCCACGGGCCGTGAGGCAGACGGTGCCAGGCCCGTGCCGTTCCTTAGGAGGACGCGCACGCCGGGGCAGTTCCCGTTCCTCCTGGGGCTCCGACCCGCCCGCAGGACCCCAGCCCGAGGGCTGCAGGCCCAGACACCGCGGGGCCGCTCCGCCTGCGGACCCCGCAACAGACACAGGAACGCGGTGTGTGCACAGAGGCTTTATGTGCGCAGCGCGGCCCGGGCAGCACGGCTCTCGCCGGACGGACGACGCACGGACGGATACAGGCCGCGGGATCGAGCCGCCTCCCCCCGCCGCACTCGCCTGCACTTCCTCCGTTTCTTTCGCGGTCTCGGGCTGGAGGCGGCAGCTCCGGGCTCGTCCCCGGGCGCAGCGGACCCGCTCGGAGCTGCCGTCCCCGAGGAGCCGCCACCGCCGCCGCTCGCCTCCATGGCGCCGCTCGAGACCGCCGCCGTTCCCATGGCGACGGGGCAGCCGTCTCCGCTAGACCATAGAGCCGAGCACAGCCAGCTAGAGCGGCCCCGGACCGGTCACGCGGTCGCACCCGCCGCACCTCGCGATTGGCTGGCGGGGCCCCGCCGCGCCCCCCGCGGGCAGCGCCCCCGCGGCTCAGTCCTCCAGAAGCAGCGCCAGGTCAGCGGCGAGGCGGCGCATTTCCGGTTCCGGCAGCAGGGGTCGGCGGATGGCGCGCAGCACCTCGGCCTCGCTGAGTTCCTCGAAGGCGGCGGCCGTGGCCACGGGCAGGAACCCGGCCAGCTCGCACAGCGCCACGTTGAAGGCCGCGCTCTCCTCGACCTCGAAGTGCGGCCTCCTGGCCCACAGCAGCAGCCGCAGCCCCGCGCCGGGCCCGGGCCCGACCGACCCCTCTGGCGGAGCACCCCGCGTCACGAAGACGTTGTAGGCCAGGCCCAGGGCCAGCAGGCGGGCGGCCGCCCTGCACACGTCCCGGGCCAGCGCCTCCAGGCCGGCGCCTGCCGTGTAGAAGAGCAGCGCCGGCGCTGGGGCCTCTAGCAGGAGACTGAGCCCCCGCGTGGGGCAGAGCGGCTCGGCCGGCGCCGTCTCCACCAGCAGCGGGTGGGCGAGGTAGAAGCCGTGCAGGTGCAGGTGGTTGACGGAAGCGGAGGCCCCCAGGCTGTTGAAGCCCACGCGGAAGCCGGGCTGGGCGCTGAGCAGCACGGCCTCCAGCCCCACGCGCAGCAGCTCGGGGGTGAGGATTTGCGGCAGGCGCAGCGTCGGCTCCGGCAGCAGCAGCACGTGGCCGCGCTCCAGGGGGCTGACGTTGATCACCACCAGCGCGTGGTCCGCAGCCGCGAGGTCGCTCTCGGCCGCAGGCCTCCGGCGCAGGCGCAGCAGCACCTCACCGGGGCGGATCTGCGTGAAGTTGAATTGCTGAGAGTCGAAAGGCTGCGTCAGGCTGCGCACTGCTTGCGGCCGCCTGCGCTCCGTGCTGCGCTGCGTGTTGAGCTGGACCAGCAGGCGCATGGCGCCGGGCAGCACGCGGGTGAGCAGCTCCGCCAGGTGGTACCGGAACAGCCCCCGCGCCATGCGCTCCTGCCAGGCCCCCAGCAGCGCCCGGTCGAAGCGGGACGGCGCGGTGCCCGGCCAGGCGACGCCCTCCAGGATGAACTCATCCTCGTGGTACGCGAAGTCCTCGGGCTGAAGGACGTCCTGCAGCTGCTCTTGGTGCTCACCGGTCCCCGCTGCCATGCTCGGTGCCACCGGGAACCTGACGGAGGGGGAACGCGGGCACGAGTTGGCCGACCCCGTCCCCAGCCCTGACCCCCGTCCCCGACGTTCGTCCCATCACCCGCCGCACCCGCTCTGGCCCGGCCCTCACGTCCCGCCGATCTCCCACCCATCACACCACGCACCTGCGCTTCCAGCGGGTGCCGCGCGGGGCCGGGGGCGGTGCTACGTGCAGCGCGTACCCAGCCCGGGGCGGGCCGTTGCTACGGGAGCGGCAGAGTGACGTGCGGGGCGGAAGCGGCACCGGGCGCCATGGGGGGCTCCAGCAGCCTGCTGTCCCGGGAGGCGCTGGGGGAGTACCAGGTCTGTGGGATGGGCTGTTGGGGCGCTCGGGGGGAAAGATCACCGAGTGGGGGGGCGAAGGATGGGGAATCTGCGGTCCCGTATCTGGGGGAGCTCCCGTATCTGGGGGAGCTCCCGGCTCTGTGAGAACCAGGGAACGGGGGCATTCCGGGGCTGCGGCGGGGACCGGGACGGAGCCTCTTCCTTCAGCGCCCCCGCGCTGACCGCGCTCTCCCCGCAGGAGCTGACGTTCCTGAACAAGCAGGAGATCCTGCTGTAAGTGCCGGGGCCGGGGCTCTGCGGGAGGGGGGCTCAGCCCTGGGCATTCTCCCCGCGCCGCGGGTGCTGCTCACCCTGGGAACTGCTCTCCGTGGGGGGTGGGCGGGCAGCGCGGAGCTGGGCCGGGCCGTTTTCGTGACCCCGGGGTGCGAAGTGCGCGGGTGCGGCCTCGCCGGGCGGGGCGCGCGGCTCCGGGTCCGAGAGAGCGGCTCCGGCTGCGCGACGGGACCGCTCCTGGACGGGGCGGGCAGCGGCTCCGGCCCCGCGCGGTGCCGCCTGGGGGCCGCGCTGCTCCGCCCCGGGGCTGCCCCGCGTGCTCCCGCACAGAGCGGCCCCTGTTGTCGCTTTCTCAAGTGCCTACAAGAGGTTCAGTGAGCTGCTGCCGAAGGAGCAGAGGGAGAACGCGTGCTCTGTGCGCGTTCCCAAGAGCCAGATCCTGACGCTGCCGGAGCTGCGGGTACGGTACCTGGAGCGGGCCGGGTGGGCGGGCTCACCCGCTGAGCGCTCTCGGTGCTGGGAGCGCGCCGTGCTCGTCGTGTGGCACCGTGGATTGCTTCCTCGGCCCTGTGCAGAGCAGCCCCACGGCCCCGCTGTGCGATGGCACGGCTGCACCGGGTGGGATGGGCTGAGATCAGAGCGGAGCTCTGCTCCACGTGGTTCAGTGCCAGCCCTGCCCTGAGCCTTCCCCGCCTTGGCAGGCAAACCCCTTCCAGCACCGGATCTGCCGTGTGTTCTCCACGTCAGCGGATGGGGACGACAGCCTGTCCTTTGAAGACTTCCTCGACATGCTGAGCGCCTTCAGTGATGCTGCCACCTCAGATATCAAATCCAACTACGCCTTCCGCATCTTTGGTAACCCTGGGTGTGAACGTGGTGTCCTGGGATCCCACCCACTGGCCGGGGACAGTTGGCAAGGGCTGGTAGCTCCTTTAGCGTGCCCGTGGGGCAGCTTTGGGGACACCTTCTGTACTTGGAGCTGCTATGCCCATGAGTTGTCCCAGCCCCCTCTCAGCACAGGTGCTTTGTGACTTGAGTCACAGGGACCCCACAGAAACATAACTTTCTTCTGCCCAAAGACTTTAACGATGACGGGGTCCTGGACAGAAAGGATTTGGAGGAGCTGGTGAACTGCCTGACAGGGCAAGGCGAGGAGGCACGGCTGAGTAGCACTGAGATGGAGCAGCTCATCTGTAACGTAAGGACCTGAGCTGGGCAGGGAGCGCTGCATGGTCCTGGCCCCGGAGAGCTCGGTGCTCAGTGCCTGTGCTGCAGGTCCTGGAGGAGTCTGACATTGACAAGGATGGCACCATCAACCTCTCTGAGTTCCAGCATGTCATCTCCCGCTCCCCAGACTTTGTCAGGTATGTGGCTTCCAGCTGTACAAGGAGTCCCAGGAGTCAGCCCACCGTGCTGCTGTGCTGGCTTTGGGGCAGCACTTATCAGAGCAGCAAGGCAAGGCCACCCCTTAGAAGTTCCTTTAGGAACTTCCTCCTGCGTGTACTCATCTACGCAAGAGCACAGCACATGCACAGAGCTGGTTGCTCACAAACCACTTCTTGTGCAGCAAGGAGGTGCTGAACATGTCTTATCTCTTACAGCTCCTTCAAGATTGTCCTGTGAGGGCCGTGCTGCTCTCCTGCAGATCTGCTTCTCCAGCTGCTGCAGCTCTTTATCTCAGATGTTCCCTCTTCTTCTGAGGAGAGCAGCTCAGGCCCTGCTCTTCCCCAGCCTGGCAGTGCTGCACCATGCTGCAGGGCAGGACTCTGCTCCCCCAGTGCCTGGTGGGCTTGATTACAGGTGTCCAGTTGCCCCATGAGGATCCACCACAGGCAGCAGCTTGGCTGTCCCAGCAGCACATTTTTACCCCACACAAGCACAGCTCTGTGGTTGATGGGGCAGGCACAGAAGGTGCCACAGTGCATCAAGCACAGCCCCTCTCACCGCCCCCAGTACCATATGTGCCTTCTGCTGCTCTTCCATGGGGCCTTTCTGCACCCTGGGGAGCAGTCTCTCCAAGCAATAACCCAATTGCACTTTGGATGTGCCATCCCGGCAGTGCTTCCCCTTTGCTGCCCTGGGGCACAGGGGCTGCACTCCTTGCTTCTGCACCAATAAACTCAGGGTCTGTTCTCGTTTTCCAGTTCTTTCCTGTCTGCCTTAGGTTCATGCTCAGCCAGCGCTCTGCCTGGTGCACGCAGGGCCTGGCCCCTTCCTTTGTACGCTGGAGAGGACAAATAAAGGGCTCTGGTTTCACCCCCAACCTGGTCCTGCTGCCAGTGGCCTTTGTCTTGCGTCAGGGGAGGGAGGAGCGGGGTGTGAGTGCTGCAGGACCACTGCCAAGATGGTGCTGGGGACGTGGCCCCCTGCCAGCCCCAGGCAGCTCCTGGGAACAGCGGTCCCAGTTCAGCAGGGGGCAGGTCCTAGTCCTGCTGGAGAACAAGCTCGGTGCAGGATCCCTCCCTCCTTGGGAGAACCAGAGGCCGTTCCCAGAGCGCTTAGCAGGCGCTGCACAAAGAGCTCTGCTCTCTAGCAGGAGGCACAAAGGGAAATCCAGGGCAAGCAAGCAGTACCTTTGCTGTGCCGCGCAAGGGCCCTTTGTGTCTGTTCATCCAGCGGGCTCGGTGCTGGCTGGCTGCCATCTGGGAACAGCTCTGTTCAGGGAGCCCGCAGCATTCCCTAGCAGCACCACGCTGAGACGGCTGCAGGGTCTGGTGCTGCTGGATCCCCGGTGCTGCTGGATCCGCAGCCCCAGCTTGCTGCCGTTTCTCACGTCCTGGCTGCTTGCTCCCAGCGATGCGGGCCCTTCCAGCTCGCTGCCCTGCAGCGATGATGCTATCTGCCTGCCACAGCCTGCGGGCCGTGTCTGCTGGCACCGCACCAGCCGACGCCTCCGGTGGCTTTTTTGATGTCCCAGAACAGGCTGGGCAGGAAGTGGGGAACACTGTCCTGGCGGGAGTGAGCCAGTGCAGGTCCCAAGGAAGCCTGCCCCAGCATGCTGGCGTGGTGCGGAGCTCACTGCTTCCCAGGCAGCAGGCAGATAAGAAGCACAGTGCCTCGCTCTAGAGCTGCTTCCCCACATCGTGCAAGCGGGGCCTCAAAACAGCAAAGCACTGCTGTAGCCCTGCAGCACCCTACAGCGGGGTCACGGGGATCCTGTTCTGGAGCTGTGTGCTGGCACAGCCTCACGCAGCAGCCCCACGCACCATCGTGCCTGCCCCACACACAGCCATGGAGCCAATGCGATGGGCCTGGCTCCAGGAAGAGGCCCCAGTTCCACACCTGTAGCCACAGCAGCACACACGTGTACAAAGGAAACACCTGGACTTTAGATAAAAACCACAGACGTTTCTGCACACGCACATCGGGGACACGAGATACGCAGCACGGCGCTTCATCCCGGCACAGGGTGAGCACCGCTGTCTGCTCCCTCCCCAGGACACAATTCACATTTTCAACGTATTAAAAACGAACCAAGCACAGACACACACCACATCCACGTGGCCACCACGCACCAGCACCGCCCGGCCGCACACGAAGCTCCGGGCCCCCAGCAGGATGTCACAGTGAGTCGGGGCTTAAGGGGGCTGCGGCCGCCCCCAGCCCTCTGCATAGACGGGGCTGTGCCTGCGCGGGGATGGGAGAAGTCCGACCACCCCTGCAAGGCGTGCGGTACCCTCTGCCGGCCCCATCCCGAGGCAGTGCCCAAGACCCCCCCCACCCCACCAGGGTGGGCGGCGCGACGGGGCCGGGCTCCAGGCATGCACACACAGACGAACACCGATCCCAGCCGGCGAGGCTCAGCAGAGCAGAGGTGGTGCGCGAAGGCTGTCCGTCCCCTCACACCACTGAGTCCTGGATCTCGGAGCCCAGGCGCACGCGGGGTCTTTGGCAGGCGGGGGACACCTCCACAAAGCTGTCCCGCACGTGGAGGGGCCGCTTCTCCGACTCGGAGAAGGCACGCGTAGCGCCCGGCGGCTCGTGCACGGGGGTGCTGACGATGTAGTTGTCCTGCAGCGCCTGGTAGCCCTTGTGCTCGGGCGCCGTGTTGGGCAGGCTGCTGCCGTTCAGGGGCAGGCTCTCCACCGGCTTCCGGGGCGTCTTCTGGTGCCGGCTGGCGTCCCCGGGCTCCACCAGCGCCTTCACGCCGTCGCAGTGGCGGTGCAGGAGGAAGAGCATCAGCACGAGCACGGCGGCGGCGAACAGCCCGCACATCACCAGGAACTCGGTCCAGTAGGTCTTGCCGTCCAGCCGCGCCGCGATGCTGCCCGCGGCCGAAGTGCTCCGCGACGTGCTGACGGTTTCCGGCGCGGTGAAGCCCCTCCTGCCGGGCTCCTGCACAGCCACGCAGTAGCTGGCCATCAGCTTGCGGAAGCCCTCCTCCAGCGACCAGCACTCGTATGTGCCCGCACGCTCCGGGCTGCCCACCAGGATGAGGGCCCCCTCGGGCAGCACCAGATAGGAGGCATTGACCGGGGTCCCGTTGTGCAGCCAGCGCCGCGACGCCAGGTTGGAGAGCAGCCGGCACGGCAGCGGCTGCACCGCATTGGGCGGGAGCTGGATCCGCTGGCACGGGCTGCCCGAGGCTGCGGGAGAGAAGCAGGGATGTCAGCCAGGCTGTGGGACCTGGCGCTGTGGGCGCTAGGGGGGACAAGCAGGATCTCACCTGGAGGCAGCAGGACGCGGGGCCGGGGCTGGGACACGTTGGTTGGTTGGCAGAGCCGCTCTGTCTCGGCACCTTCGATGTCCTGCACCCACAGCCTGAGGCAGAGAGAGGGATCAGGGGTCTGGGGGCTGCGGGGGGAGTGCAGCTCTGAGGAAGACGGAGCACTGGTGGGGTGCAGCACTTACTGGGGATGCGCCGGGGGGTGCGGGGTAGTGCTGCGGCAGGCGCCGTGGCTCCAGGCACAGAAGGGATCCCGTGCCAGCACGCACTCACCGCAGCTGCGGTACAGGCTGCAGTTGGAGAAGGGCACCTGAGCCACCGCCGTGTAGGAGGCTGCATAGACCAGGCCCTGTGGGGAGGAGGCACAGCGGTGTCAGTCACACCACCAGTGCCTGCAGTGGGAACGGACCCCACGTGCCTGAATCCCCTGCCCTGGGCTTGGAGTTGCAATTTCCAGCATGGTGCAGGTCTGGCAAGATGGGAAGACAACCCTCAACCCACCAGCAGGTTCATACCCCTTCCATACCCTGCCCCAGCCCCCCCCGTGCTCGGCTCCTGCCTGTTCGTGGTCCAGCAGCAACTGCAGGACGGGCTGGCCAGTGGGGAAGAGGCGGATCTCCTCGATGATGTGCACCCGGTGGTTCACACGCACCGCCTTGTGCAAGCGGCCATCATCTGCAAACACAGCGACTGTGCTGAGCAGGGCTGGGGGCGCACAGCACCCACCCCCCCGTGCCGCCCAGCCCCCGGGCTGCACCCACCCGTGCCCAGGAAGAGGACGTCGTAGGTGCCGCGCAGCCCCTGCACGCGGTGCACGCCGATCTGCTGGTAGCGCAGGCGGCTCTGCAGCAGCAGCGGCTGGCTGCGCACCGGGCTGTCCATCAAGAAGTGATCTTTGACAAAGTTCAGCACGCGGTCCGGCATCTGCAGGGACGAGTTGATCTTCAGGTGCCGCGTGTGGCTGGTGATGCACTGTGGAGAGAGCGGGGGTTGGCCGGGGCCACGGGCAGCTGTGCTCCCGGGAGCCAGGCAGGATGAGGCCGCCCCGTCCCGCTCCCACACCAGCACCCCGAGGCGCGCACCGTGCCTGGCCGCGGTTCTGGTACCGGGCTGGTGTCGGTGTACCACTGCTGCGTCTCACGGTTCACCTCCTTGTAGAGCCCACCAAAGGCCTTCTGCACGCTGTGCATGGGGAAGGCGCACACCGCCGAGCTGCCCAGGCCGCCCTTGTTCCTGGCAGGGAGCAGCACACAGCAGGGTCAAGCACTGCAGCTTCGAGAACCCGAGTGTGGCCAAGACCCCCTGTGCCGCCCCAGGTGCCCCACAATGCTGCTCCGGCCCTGCGCTCACCATTGCGACGTGAAGACCCCGTAGAACAGCGTCTCCCTCCAGCGCTGCTCCCCGGGCGTGAGCACAAAGACGTCCTGCAGCACGTTGAAGGGGAAGCCGTCCTCGGGGTGCGAGCAGAGCAGCTGCGCCTTCAGGAATGTCGTCCACCGCCGCTGCAGGACCCGCTCCCCACCCTGGTCCCCCTGTGTGGGCACTGAGGGTCAGGGCATGGGCAACGGTAGTGCAGCCGCCTCACGGAGGGAGCCCCCGAGATGCCCCCCATGTCGGTGAATAGTGGAGGGCTCTGCAACTCATGCTGCTGCACCAGGATCACAGACAGAGCAGCTCAGTTTTGGGGAGGCACAGGCTTTCCCAGGAGAAGGGAAATGCGGTGCAGGAGGCGGATAGGTCTGTGTGTCCTCCAGCAAAGGGGCAGAGTTGGTGAGGAAAGGCACTGCAGAGCTGGAAGTACCCTAGAAGGGTCTCCTGCAGGTTCCTTCCCAGAGTGTCTGGGAACCAGCAGAGATACACACGCAGGGCAGCCCCATGTCCTCGCCACGCTCTAGGGGTGCATTCCTCCCACCCCACTGCCTTGCACCCACCTTGCACACGCGTGCGATGCGCGACACAATGGTGTTCTCAAAGTAGTCAAACTCCTTGCCGGTCTCGCTGAAGAAAAAGTAGACCTTGTCATCATCGCCGTCGGGGTTGCCGGCGGGCAGGCTCTCCTGCAGGAAGGCTGAGCCCACGAACACCGGGTCTGGGAGAACAGCACACTCAGCATCTCTCACCTCCATCCCAGGGCCTCCCGCAGCCCGCCAGCCCGGCTCTTACCCTGCAGCCAGCTGAGGGAGTTCTCTGTCTTCAGGGAAATGCGGCTCTCCTGGCTGCGGTAGATGGTGGGCTCGTTGCCCTGGAAGTTGCTGACAGTCCCAGCGTACAGCTCCCCATCTGCCAAACAGGGGCTGTGCTGGGACCCAGCCCGGCCCCGCAGCCCCACTCCTCATGGGGGCTGCGTGTGGGATCACAGCCCCGCTGTTCTGGCGGAGCTGCAGGCGCGTGCCTTACCGACCATGACGGCGGTGGAGCGGTACTCGGGGTCGAAGGGGCAACGTCCCTTCCCGTCCTCCAGCAGCACCCTTCCCAACCCGTCCCGCTCCAGGGAGAAGTGCTGCACGTTCTGTGAGGGAAAGGGGCTGTGAGCTGCAGGCTGCAGTGCCCCCCACTCCCACACCATCTTCTCCCCAGCTCACAATGTAGGCGCAGGTGGGGCTGAAGGCACAGGTCCCGCACGTGTAGAGGTGGGTGCTGTTCAGCTGCAGCAGCATCTTGATGTAGTTGTGACAGTCCCTCTGCAGGGGAGAGAGACACGGCTCAGCCACCCTGCGCACGGGCACCGGCACTGCCCAGCCCAGGCAGCACATCCCAGGCACCAGGGCTCACCTGGGGGTCCTTGCCCTTGAACACGCACTGCCTCTTCTTCTCCTCATCTGCACCCCAAGGCAGCTGCAGAGAAGGGATGGTCATCAAGAGCCCAATCACCACCTACCCCCCAGCACTGCTCTACGGTCCCAATATCAGTGGCTCCACTTGACCCCACTCGAGACAGATCCCAGCACTGGGTCTGAGCACCCGATGCCTGCACAGATGGTGCAGCTCCCTCTGCACTGCCCTGACCGGCTGCAGAACACACCAGGACCCCACGCCAGAGCTGGGCTCAGTGTCCCCAGCCCCCTCCGTGGACTCGTGGTGTTGGCAGCACGCACGTGGGCTCACCCTGTGGGCCAGCACGCTGTGCTGGAAGTGGCTGGTGTTGACAGCAAAGAGCACCTCACGTGCACCCAGGTACAGCGTGCCGCCATCCGGGCTCAGCAGCAGCGCTGTGTAGTTGGAGACGCCGGGCACCTCGAAGCGCTGCACCACACGCTCAGCTGAGTCTGCAGGGGGACAGCGAGGGATCAGCACCACACAGCACCCGGGGCACGAGCACCAGGTTGGCGCTGCGCCGTCTGGGAAACACAGAAGGAAGCAGATGCTGCACAAGGACCCGACCTCCAGCCCTGGCCGCCAGTGTGGGCCGGGCTGCCGCACCTCAGAACAGCCACAAACCACGCACGGCCATAATAATGCCAGAGGGCAGAGTCTGAACTGCCACGGCATCCCGGCCCCTGGGGACAGCCCGGGGGCTCACAGTCCCACTCCTCAGCCCTGGGGTCCCTTCCCACAGAGCTGGGGGCAGAGCTCCCTGGCCATGCCCCAGCAGCTCCCTGCACCAGGCTGCTGCAGTGGCTGCCAGCCAGGGCAGGCAGAGCCGTCCCGTGTGGGTGGCCCAGTCCCGGAAGCCCTTCCTCTCAGCCAGCAGCCCTCTGAATCAGAGCACCCAGCTGTGTCAGCGGGACACGTCGGGCTTACTCACGCTGCCAACTCCCTCACCCCTGACCCACAGCTCACTGGGAAGCCCCGACCTGCCCAAAGCCCTGCCCAGTGTCAGCTGCCATGAGCCGTGCCCGGTGCCAGCAGTACTGCTGGGGCAGGACCCTCCCTGATCCTCTCCCTGCTTCCTGCTGTCACCGCGAGGAGTGCAGCAGTGATGCTGTCACGGCCCCACAGGGACACGGCACTCCCAATCCAGTCCCCCACTGGCACCAGCCCTGCTGTGCCTGCAAGCCCTCTGGGCTCCCCAGAAGGCACGGCTGTGTGGCACAGCCCTTCCCCAGCCCTGGCAGTATGGGCACAATATAGGACACTTGGCTCAGTGCCTGTCCTAAGCCATCGCCTCCCTTGCAGTAGTAGAGAGGAACAGGGACGCACTTGGGGGGGCTGCATCCCTCAGAGGGGTCCCATGCCCTGGCACAGGGTGATGCCACTCACAGTGGACGCAGTGCAAAAGGGCAGCGGGGCCCCTGCACCCCACAGAGCTCACCCAGCCCAGGAGCTCTGAAGCCTGTGCTGGCTGCCAGGGGGACCTGTTAGGACAAGACCTGCTTCTTCCAGACAAACCTGCTGGAGGCACATCCCGCCACTCAAGGGGAGCAGCTCGCCTGCTCCTCCCCCTGCCAACAGAGAGCCCCATGCAGGATCCACTGCTGGGTGCACCCCCGCCAGCCTGCACCCCCCCCCCCCCCCCCATTCCTTTGGTGAGGGTGCATCCCCATCGGGACACCGAGGTTCCATCTGTAGCTTTGAGCCCAGGCTGCAGCGCCTGCTCAAGCACCAGCTGCAGGAGGGCAGAGCTGGGCCAGAACTGGTTTGTGCAGGCACAGTGTGGCACGGTGCTGAGCTGGGCTGTCCCGCTGCCTCCCATGGCTCCCATCCATCCCACCCCACTGAGCAGATCTCACATCTGCTGGTGCCACCGAGGCTGTGGCTGGCGGTCCCAGGAGCACGTGGCAAGGCCACGGCCACGTCAAAGAACCGCAGCACACGGAGCCAGGGAGTGTTGCTGTGCCACAGCCATCCTGACCCAAAGCCACCGCGCCCTCTCAGCCGTCCTCAGCCAGGAGGCAGCACAGGACAGACACTGCTCGCAGCAGCAGCTGGATTTGGCCACCTCCTGGAGCAAAGTGATCCTCACCACTTGTGGGCCGCCCACACCACAGCTGCAGCGCCAGGCAGCCGGCCCCACCAGCGTCCCGATGCTGACCCCCGATGTCACTGCAGGCACTCGGCCACAGGCAGCAGCCAGGAACGGCCCTGCAGGGTGAGGGGGCTCTGCCTGCCAGGACCCCGCTTATCCTGGGCCGTCCATCTCTGGTACCAGCACAGAGCAGGATCAGCAGCACCCAGAGCCCCAAGGCCGGGTGTAGCAAGAGCCCGTGCAGAGCGCCGGCACGTGTGGTCGTGGGGGTCCCGCAGGCAGCAACCCTGCTGCTGCAGTGCAACCAGAGCACGTGGACAGTCCCCCGCGGCCGGCTTGCCCTCTCCCACGCCCTCACAGCCCCGCACACAGGGACACAAACACCCGCCTCGGCTGCTGCTCCCTGCTACCGGCACCCACGGAGCAGCGAGCCCCAGCTTGCCGGGCCGGCTGGGAGTGTTGTGCAGGCTCAGAGCCCCGCGGGCTGTCACAAGGCGTTTCCACGCCAGAGCGGCGGGGCCAGCTCCATCCCACGGTCGAGGGAGGCCAACCCGCACCCCGTACCCCGCACCCCGATCCAGCGGGCGAGGGCAGCCCGCAACCCCCGGGTCTGCGGTACCGCGGGACGCGCGGGGCAGCGCCCGCCGTCGGGGCTCCCCGCCCCCCGAGGGGACCATCGGGCGCGGGGGGTCGGGCGGCCCCAAGCCCACCCCTCCTCATGGCGGACACTCACCATAGGGCAGACTGACCCGCGGCACGGGCTCCTGCGCCGCCGAGAGCAGCAGCGCCGCCAGCACCGAGTGCGCCAGGACGGGCAGCGCCGGCCGCGGCACCATGGCGAGCCGAGCCGGGCCGGGCCGGGCCTCCGCCGCGTCCCGCGAAGCCGCCCCGGGCACAGCAGACCTGCGGGGAGAGAAGGGGCTCAGCGGCGCGCTCGGCGCCCTCGGCACGGCGCGGCTCCGCCCCCGGCCCGGCACCGCCCCGCCCCGACCCGCGGGGCTCCCGGCCCGCCACGCGCGGCCACCGGCACGGGGCGACGGGCGAACCGAGCGCGGGCGCCTTCCGCAGAGCCCGCACTCCCACCCCGGCGGGACCCGAACCGGGGAAAGAGAGCAGGCGGAGCCCCGCCCGCGGCACCCGGTGCCGTGAGCTTCCCCAGGCGGGCCCCGCTCCCACCGAGCAGCTGGCCACAGCCGGGAGGGCACGGCCGTCCCGCGCACCGGCAGCCCCCACGCCGGGGCCGCCCCCGCGCGGCTCTTCCAGCAGCAGCGCGTCCCGGGGCCGCTGGCGGAGCGGGGCCGTGTGGGGAGCGCCGCTGCTCCCGAGCCCCTCCGTGCGTTTGCACCGTCTGCGCCGCCCCGCGAGTTGCAGCCGCGGGGCTCTGCTCGGCCCGGCGCTCGCTGCTGCGCCCGGAGAACGACAGCATCCCTGGAGCGGCCGTGCCGGCCCGTCCCACGGTTAAAGGTTGCGAGCAGCGGTGTCCGCCGCGGCAGCAGCCGGCAGTGCGGGACACCGTTCCGCCTCCCCACCGGTCCGTCCCCGGGGGGACTGGCACGGCCCCGGCTGGGTGCGTGCGGGGTACGGTCGAGCCGTACCGCAGAGCCGCTTCCAGCCCCGAGCCGTGCGGGCCTATGCCAGAATGAGGGGCTCTTGCCGAAGCACATGCAGACCCCCGGAGAACCGCCGCGCTCGTCCAGCGGTTGCCATAGCAATCGGTTATTAATGACAGCTGCTTGTTTTGCCATGGCAACGAGGGGAAAGGGGAAAGGGTCTCCTCGGCAGCTCTCCTGGGGCCGGGCTCGCCGCCCCCTCCCGTACTCGGGGTTCATCTCCCCGCTGCTCGCTCGGCCGCCCCGGCCCCGCACCCCTCGGCCACGGCCACCCCCAGCGGGACCGTGGGCGAACCCTCCCCGGACCGTGTCCCGCGCCGTCCCTGCTCCCCGCTCACCCGCACTGCCCGCTGTGGGGCCATACCTGGCGCCCAGGGCCGGGGCAGCGTCGCTCCGCGTCCCGGCTCTCCTCCCGCTCCCGCCGCTTCGCTGTCCCTTCCTGGGCCCGGCCGGCTCCACCCCGCCGCCTTATCAGCACCCTTTGCCCGGGAAGTGCCACCGACGGGACGCGTTCTGCGTCACGGAGCGGGGCAGCGTCACGCTGCGTGGGGTACGAGCACTGCCGCTGCCCCCGCAGCGCCGTCCCCCGGCACCGTGGGGGTCCCCGCGGGGCTCCGCGGACCCGGGCATCGCCCACGTGTGGCTGCCGCAGCGCGGCGCCCGGAGCCCCGGGACGACGGCCCGCAACAGCGCGAGCCATGCGGGAAGGGTGGGCCGGGGGACACAGGGGCAGGGTGCCCCGGGAGGGCAGCGAGCGGAGCAGGAGCGAGCCCGGAGCCTGCGCCTTTAAGCGCTGCTGGAACGGCCCCGCAGCCCGCTGCTGGCAGCCCGGCCTGTTTACGCCGAGCTCCCATTTATCTCCTCCGCCTGCCCACGCAGAGTGCCAGCACGGGGGGCACCCGCGGCTCCGCGCCCCCCGCTCGGGCATGTGCGTGCGTGCGTGCGTGCGTGCGTGCCTGCCCGCCCGCCCTGCCTGTACACGGCCGTGTCAGCCCGGCACCGGCTGCAGCGGTGGAGACGGGGCAACAGCTCGGGGTGCGAGGCTGGGCAGAGCCAAACCCGCGGCCCAGGGTCAGCTGCGGGGGGGGACGCGGTGTTCGCACCGAGTTCCCACGCTGAAGCCCTCCGCTCCCTCGGAAGCCAACGCGAGGCCGCGCCACGCTGCTGTTCCCTGCGTGCTCCGGCCCTGCTCGGCACGGTGCGGGCGCATCGCCGGCTCGGATGCAGCCCACGTGCGGCCCTTCGTCCCGCCCCGCGTCACCGGGGATGTCGCGCGCACCCCCGTCTCGGCTCCCCCTGGAGCTGCCAGACAGCCTGGAGCCGCCCCGCGGGACCCCGCGCCGCCCCCTCGGCTGTGCGTGCGGAGCGGGAGCGCGCATCACGCACACCTGCAGCCGTGCCGAGCGATGCCGATGCGCGCACAGATCCTCCCGGCTCAGCTGCTCTGCTGGCGGCCCCAAGCGTGCATTCCATGAAACGGGGCTTCCTCAGGCCTGCAGCCGCGGCCGCGCGGGATGGGTTGGCGGCAGCACGCCGGCCCTCTCTGCTCTGCTGCGCCCGGATGGCAGCAGAGAGAGGCCCCGCTTGGAACCAGCGCCCACCCGGCAGCGCGTGTGGCCTGGGAACCGGAGCACCGTACACCCCTCGGGGGCGGGGATGGGGCGGCTCCGAGCTGCATGCAGGGTGCGGGAAGGAGGGGGTCCCGGTGCAGGGATGCGTGACCCCTCCCTGGCCACCCTCGGCCCTGCAGAGCCCAAACCAGCGCTGCTCTCCTCGGCCCCCCGCAGGCACAGCAGGAAGAGGGGCTCCTGGAATCTAAGAGCAGACACGGCACTGCGGGAGCAAACGTCGGAGGCACTGAGACCCCACAACCTGCGTGGCCCCAGCTGTCCCCCACCACTTCGAAGCCCCGTGGTTGCTGTGGCACTGAACGCCATCAGTGTGGTGTCTGCACACGCAGCGTGTGCACAGCATGCAGACGTCCTGCTCTGCACACATTCACACAGGTGGGACACGACGCACACGTACGTCCCACGTGTGACAGAGCACACGCAGCTCCTCACAGCCGCCCCAGACGCGGCCATAACGCTGTGTGTGCACTTCCTGGGGCAGGCAGTGTGCAGAACGCAGCCCCACATGCATGTAAACACAGCACGGTGCTCACAGGAGGCACACGCCCCACACTGCAAACACCTGGAAGCGCCCCAATGAGTGCAGCCCCACGCTGCTGCGGGCAGCAGTCCCCACACGCGGCCCGAGTGCCCCTGCACCACGCGCTGTGTGCACGCACACCCTGCACGCATTGCACACGCCTTTGCACACACGCAGGCCCTCTGCCACCCCCACGGCTCTTGCAAGCTCTGTGCAGCCGCTGCCGCTGTGCACACGCATCTGCGGGGATCCCCATCCAAGCGCACCCCCCGTTACACACCTCCCGTGCACGAACACACACGCGCCCCCCCACCCCGCACACAGGCGCTGCACGGCAGCACATGAACGCCCGCCCAGCAGCGTGCACACACATACACACACACACGCACGCATCCCCCCGCACACCTCCCTTGCACACACACACACGCATCCCGCACGCCGCTTACCGGCTCGGGGCGCGGATCCCGCCTGCAGCGCGGGGCGGCTCCGGGGCTCCCCGCCCGCGGGGGGCGCGGAGAGGTGCGGGGCGGTGAGGGGCGGCTCCGTCTGCTCCGCCCGCCGCCTGCAACAAAGGGCCGCCCCGCCCGGCCCCTCCCCGCGGCTCAACACCGCCGGCAGCGCCGCCGCCGTCCGCCCGGCTCGGGTTCGGGGAGAGGAGGCGGAACTGGGGGGCTGTGTGGGACAGGGGGGGTCCCGGTGCGGCGGTGCCGTCGGCCCCGGATGGTGCTGCTCCCCGCGCAGCGCTGCGTGAGAGCCGCGGGGAATGGGGAGCGGTTCTGTGGGTGCTTCCAGGGAGGAGCTGCTCTCGGGCAGCCCCAGAGGCAGAGGTGTTGGCGATGTATGGCGGGTGCACGGACGACGGGGATGTGCTTGGGGCTGCAGGCATTGCCGTGAGGTCCTGGCGCTGCTGCGTGGCTCCGGGCCTTTGGGGCAGCGTGTGGCTGCTGGTGTCTGCCCAGAGCCACGCACAGCCTGAGGCTGCTGGCCAAGTGCTGCCGGTGAGCAGGGCTGCTGGAGTCTCCCTGAGTCTTAGTGGGTGCTTGGGGTGGCCCAGCATGGGGGTCCTGGGTGCTGAGCCCCCACAGCCCCTGAGCAGAGTTGCGGCAACAGCACAGCCCTGATGGAGCCAAGCACCACATGCAGCCTGCCAGCTTCAGCCCCACACCTCCGGGGGCTCCTCATCCTTGCCATTCCATTCGCATTTTCAGCTGTGCCACGTCCCGGAGTGCTGCCATCTGCCTGCTGCGCCACCAAGCCCTGGCAGCCCGGCTGCTGTGCCGCTGTCACAATGTTCCTGGAGCTGCTGTGCTGCCCTGCGTGGCCCCAGCTGCTCCTGGACTCAGGTTTTGGTGCAGCAGGGTGTGCTGCGGGGCTGTTGTGGGGGCTGTGGAGGGGCACAGATGACACACGCCTCCACCAGCCCCGTTATTCCTTGCTGGGGCCCTCAAACCACAGCTGTCAGAATCCCCTGGCACACATTGCTCTCCAAGCAGCGCTGGAGTGTGGCCCCCGCCCTCGGCAGCCCACGCTGACCCTGCTGGGGCCACCCAGCTGTGGAGAGCTGCTCCAGCCAACTATGCTCTCCTTTGTTGGGAGGCCGTCCTTCCTGGGACGGTGCCACATGGCCGCTCCCCAGCGGGGCCGCGCTGCCCTGACCTCGTCCCTGCCACGAGGTCACTGACCGCAGGGCGGCGGGGGGGGCAGCGCTGCGGCCGTGGGGCGGCCCCCAGATCCTTCCCACGACGCCAACACCCTGCCATGGGGCAGCCCCACGGTGCCGGCCACGTGGCTGTGCGCAGCTGAGCTGCAGTGGGTATGTTGGGGTTCCGAGTCCCCCACGCTGCACTGGAGCCGTGGCCCCCGCAGCTCGCAGCCCCCCTCAGCTGGCAGCCCGCCGTCCGCAGCTCTGGTTAATGTTAAAGCCAGCGGACGTCACTGTGCCCGGTCCTGCCTCTCCCTCCCCACCCCCCCGCCTCCTCCCTGCCGCCCCTCTGCTCGGGGCCGCCTGTTGTTCAGCTCCGCTTCCCAAAGTGGGATCTGCCCAGCCTTCGTGGCTAAAAAAAGCCTCCCGCTGGCCCGAGCAGAGGGACAGCAAGCCTCCACGCCCTGCGCAGCCCGGCCGTGGGCACGCTGCGGGGTGTCTGTGGGGCACGGCGTCCCTCGTGCCAGGCTCAGTCCGGTCAGAGCTCGGCAGAGCAGCAGCGCTGCGTCCCGCTTGGTGCGGTGCCCACATCACGTGTTGGATCGCTCGCTCCTATATAGGGAAAGCTCGGTGCCCTCTGTGGGCTGGGCTGGCAGCACGTCCCCAGATGTGCAGGCGCCACGTCCCCCCCAGCCCCCACAAGGGCACGGGGACACGCAGCGCGCCCGCTGCACCCTGTGTGCCCTACCACCGTATGCAGCCAGACTGTGCCAAGCCCCCCAGTATCTCCGCGGAGCAGGAGGGGGATGAACGCAGCCCGGGGGCCACAGCACGCGGCGCTAACAGCCGATCCCCGCCCGGTCACCTTGTGCCTTGGCACCGCTCGTGGCCCGCATTAAGCGCACCCCGCTGCGCACCACGGGTCAGCTTACGCCCTTAGGATCTCCACCCGGGGCTTCTCCTGATGCACCCCACAGGGATACGGGGTGGGCGGTGGGATGGGGGCGGCAACGGCTTACACCCCCACCTCCCCTCGTCCCGTGCGGGGCCCAACGCGGGGGTGCCGGGCGCAGACTTTTACGCGCCGCCCCGGGGCGGAGCGAACCGCGTCCCCTCTCTGCCGCCACCGCCGCCCCGTCGCGCCGCGCCATGGCCGCCCGCTGCCTCCGCGCTGTCCCGGCGCTGAGCCGCGCCGCCGGGCTGTCCCGCTGCCCGCCCCCCGCCATCTGCACCGCGCTCGGACCCTCGGGGCAGCGGCGGCACTGTGAGTGCGGTGACCTCGGGGGGGGCAGAGGGGCGTCCTTTGGGACGGGGAGGGCGCGGGTTGGAGGGGTGCGGGGAGGGGACGCGGCGCGGTTCGGAGCGGTTCGGCACGGCCCGGCCCCAACACCGTGTGCAGGCGGCCCCGCCCGGCACTTCGCCCCGCGGGCCGTAGCGACCCGGATTGAGGACGGGATGGGGGGGGGGGGGCTGCGCCCTCACCCAGCTGCGTTCGTGGCCCCGAGGGTTTGCCCCGGGCCACGTCCCGATCCCGCGTGGGGTTTTGCCCTTCGTGTTGCACCCGCGTCCTGAGCGCGGTTTGCACCCGGAGCCGCTCCCAGACGGGTGGGGTTGTGCAGCTCACGGTGCTCCCACCTCGTCTGGGCCGTGGGTGGGGCCACGGGTGGGACCCCAGTGAGAGGTGGGACCCCAGTGAGAGGTGAGCCCCGACGCCCGGCGCCCCGACCCGCGTCCAGACCGGAGCCTTTCAGCCCCGGTACCCCGGGTCGGGTGGGGGCTTTGTGCTCCGACCCATCGTGCCCCAATGGAGGCTTGCACCGAGCCTGCTCCCGGCCCCGTCTGGCGCTTTGCACCTGAAGCGCACCCGGCCCCACGTGAGGCTCGTCCCCACGCGGTGCCCCATGACGCCGTGCTGCCGCCAGATGCCGACAGGCGGATCAAAGTGGCCAAGCCGGTGGTGGAGATGGACGGCGATGAGATGACGCGCATCATCTGGGCCTTCATCAAGGAGAAGGTACGGAGCTGCGGTGCACAGCGGCCCCCGTTCCCCGCAGGAAGCAGGTGGTGCGCACTGCGCGGCTTCCGGCACGCGGGGGGGAGGGGGAAGGGGGGCCGGGTTTGGCCGTACAGCGCTGCACTGTGCTGCTCCGGAACAGCCCTGCTCTGACCCTCCCCCCTCAGCTGATCCTGCCCAACGTGGACGTGCAGCTGAAGTATTTTGACCTGGGGCTGCCGCACCGGGACAAGACGGATGATCAGGTCACCATCGACTCGGCACTGGCCACCAAGAAGTACAGCGTGGCCGTCAAGTGTGCCACCATCACGCCCGACGAGGCCAGGGTGGAAGGTGGGAAGGGACTGGGGGGAGGATGCGGGACCGCAGTGTCACAGGGCTGGCTGTGAGTTGGGCGCTGTGCTGCTGGCACGGGGCTCTGGCAGCTGCTCACGGCACAAGGGAGCTGAGGGGCCAGGAGGGCCGTGCTGCGCTGCGTGGCGCTGGCTGAGCACCCCGTGCCTCACTGCTGCACCTCGCAGAGTTCAAACTGAAGAAGATGTGGAAGAGCCCCAACGGGACGATCCGGAACATCCTGGGTGGGACGGTGTTCCGGGAGCCCATCATCTGCAAGAACATCCCACGCCTGGTGCCTGGCTGGACGCAGCCCATCACCATCGGTCGGCACGCCCACGGTGACCAGGTGAGCACGGCGCTGTGGGGCTGGGGGGCTGCTGCTGCCTGGCCCCATACCCACACGCGACCCCACGCAGTACAAAGCCACCGACTTCGTGGTGAACAAGTCTGGGACCTTCAAGATGGTCTTCACGCCGAAGGATGGCAGTGGGGCGAAGGAGTGGGAGGTGTTCAACTTCCCTGGCGGCGGCGTGGGCATGGGCATGTACAACACAGATGAGGTACCGGGGAGCTGCCGGGGGAGTCCTGGGGTGCCGTGGGGCTGGTGGGGAGCCCGGGGTCCCTACTGAGTGTAGCACCGCGTGTCCTTTGCAGTCCATCTCGGGCTTTGCGCACAGCTGCTTCCAGTACGCCATCCAGAAGAAGTGGCCACTCTACATGAGCACCAAGAACACTATCCTGAAGGCCTACGACGGACGCTTCAAGGACATCTTCCAGGATATCTTTGATAAGTATGGAGCAGGCAGGGCGGCGTGGGGCCGGGCAGGGCTGCGAGGTGGGCACCCTGTGCCGGCACGGTGCCGCTGACTGCGCTGCTGCAGGCACTACAAGACGGAGTTCGACAAGCTGAAGATCTGGTACGAGCACCGGCTCATCGACGACATGGTGGCACAGGTGCTCAAGTCCTCGGGTGGCTTCGTCTGGGCGTGCAAGAACTACGACGGGGACGTGCAGTCGGACATCCTGGCCCAAGGTGATGCTGGCAGCTTTGGGGCCGGTGGGGTTCCTTGCTCCCGTCCCATCCTGACCCCGTCCTGCCGTAGGTTTTGGCTCTCTGGGGCTGATGACCTCGGTGCTGGTGTGCCCCGATGGGAAGACCATTGAGGCGGAGGCGGCACACGGCACCGTCACACGGCACTACCGGGAGCACCAGAAGGTGGGTGAGCGCCCTGAGGGGTCCCTGAGTGAGGTGTCACGGGGCGACCGCTGAGTGGGGGCTGTCTGCCTGCAGGGGCGGCCCACCAGCACCAACCCCATCGCCAGCATCTTCGCCTGGACGCGCGGGCTGCAGCACCGGGGCAGGCTGGATGGCAACCAGGAGCTGGTCAAGTGAGTGGTGTGAGGCAGGGGGGGGTTGCTCCGGGGCTGCCCCGTGTGGCACGTGGGGACCCGTGCTGGGCCACGGCTGCTGCTGAGCGCGCTGCCCCCAGGTTCGCTCAGACGCTGGAGAAGGTCTGCGTTGAGACCGTGGAGAGTGGGACGATGACGAAGGACCTGGCGGGCTGCATCCATGGGCTGGCCAAGTACGTGGCTGCGGGGGGGGGAGGGGGGCAGTGCGTGCCGGGAGGCAGCAGGCAGCTATTTAGGGCTGGCACTGCACCGGGCGGCAGCTCTGGCTGTGGCTGTGGCCGTGGCTGGGGGGCAGGATTCCCATTCCTTGCCCTTCTCCCTCAGCGTGAAGCTGAACGAGCACTTCGTAAACACCACCGACTTCCTGGATGCCATCAGGAACAACCTGGACAAGGCCCTGGGCAAAAAGTAGAGGACCCCCCAGGTGCCGCCCGCCTTTACCTCACTGCTAACACCCTGCGAGCGGCACCTGCAGCTCCTCCACACGGCTCAGGAACGTTCCCTCATTTTTATAACCCATTTTCTTACGTGTGTTTTTAAAGCGTTTCTAGGGGGGGTTGTAGGAAGGGGTGTGGGGGGGCTGTCCTTCACTGTGCTGTAATTTATGTAACCTCTGACCTCGTGGTGCCAAATGGCCATTAAACACATCCCGGCCCGTGGTGTGCAGGGCGGTCCATGCGCTCCTGGCACAGCAGGCAGCAGCAGCTAAAGAATTTAAATTCATTTATTTAGAATTATTGCTGAACAACTCTTCCAACCGAGGAGATAGACAAAAATAAACACAGTAGGGCTTTGCACGGGGGGCCAACCACTCTGCAGACGCAGCGCAGGCTGCACCCCAACGGCTCTCCGGCACAGCGTGGCGCGGGGTGCGGTGCTTTTTGGTAACGGGACAGAGGTAGATGTGGGGATGTGGGTGGGCACGGGGGGCTGGGCTGGGGGAGGGGGCTGGGCTGGAGGAGTTGCTGAGCCACAGTGGGAGGCTCCAGGTGCAGGGACAGCAGGCAGGGTGGTGACGGGTTGCACGCTGTGAGGTCAGCACACGGCTGCCCCTCGGCTCTGGGTGCCGGCCCGCTCCCCTCTGCGCTGCAGGATGCAACCACTGTGTGCCCCGGGGATGGGGGTGCAGCGTCCTGGGCTGTGCCACGACCAAAGGGCAGCCCTGCAGCCCGCTCCCACCGCAGGGCAGGAGGGGCCCGCAGCCCCCCCCCCAGGCCTGCATTTCCAGGGCACACTCCTGCCTGCAGCCCAGAGGTGCTCACACGGCAGCAGTGTGCAGCATTGGTGCAGCAGAGCAGCTGCTGTGGGTGTGGGACCCCCACCCGGCCCACGCTGCCCCTGCAGCCCCGCAGAGCTCCACAGATCACACACATTACACAGGTTTACAAAGAACACTGGTTGAGGGAAGCGGAACTCAGTGAAAAGATCAATCCAACCACGCGGCACGTCTGAAAAAAATAAATTACTTTCAAAATACCATCATTTGCTCAAGTTGAACAGGGTTTGCCTTCCTTTAAATACACTGCTCACCAAAGCCACTCTGTACTCAGAGCTGCTGCTTCCGCTGAGCTTTGCAATTAGTTTGTAAGAAAATACTCTTTGTGTGTGTGCCCTGTGGCCTCTCGTGGCCTGCCCCAGCTCTGCCCGTACCAGCTCCCGGCCGGTGCCAGAGCAACAGGAGCTGCTCTGGGCTGTGGGGAGCTGGGGAACGCGGGGCGGTGCAGCGCTGGTCTCCATGCAGGAGATGCCAGGCTGATGCATGGCACGGCACAGCTGAGCGGGGACCCGGGAGGTAGGATCAGGAGTGATGCTCGTTGTCTGCTGGGATGCAGCCTGCCAGCTTCAAGTACATCACACAGGGCTGAGGGTGAGGAACGTGGCGAGGGTCCGGCCACCACTGAGGTGTGAGGGACAAAGGGGTGGCAGGGCACCGGGTAGGAGGGCACTCCTTATCCAGAGGCTTAGGGAGAACGGGCCCCCAGCAGGAATGACCTCATGAAGGCAAGAGCTCTCCCAGGCTCCCTGCCCTGTGCCCAGCCGTGCTTTAGGGATGTCCCTGCCTGCCCCCTGCTCACCCCCCTGCAGCAGCACTGCATCCCAGCAGCAGTTCTCTCACATGCTGGGTCCATTTCGCCATCCCCCCGCCCACCCCGGGCCACCCGCCCTCCCTGCTACAACATGTTGTAATAAGCCATTTCCTTCATGGCCTGCTCTGCCAGTGCGCCATCGTCTGGGGGGTTCCCCACACCCTCATAGCCGTACGAGTTCTCCTCCTCGTAGTCTTCCATCTCCTGCTGCCCGTCCAGCTCTGTGTGCTCAGCCCCCGACAGGTCCATCATGGGATCTAGGCACAGCACACACAACCCAGAATCAGCCCCGTGCCTGTTGGGCTCTGCGGCTCTGCTCTCCCCACAGCGGCCCCCACCCCACCACGGCACCCAAGGAGCATCTGTATGGGCACTGTGGTTCGGTCCCGCTCCTGCAGCAAGCCAGCAGTGAGCACAGCTCCCAGTCTGCAACACACAGAGCCCAGCACAGCTCCAGCACGGCCCACACCTACCTTGGCTGTCCAGGCTGATGTCCATCACGCCGTGCTTGACCTTCATGTGCCGGCTCAGGTTGCCTTTCAGGTTGAACTTGCTGGAGCAATAGGGGCACTTGAAGGGCTTGCTGCCCGCGTGCAGGTGCATGTGGCCCAGCAGGTTGTACATACGGTTGAAGGACTTCCCACAGACCTGCAGCAGTGGTCTGCGGTTACCGGGATCCCGCAGCCCCCAGTCCCAGCAAAAAGCCCAGCAGAGCCTTGGGGTGCGGCTGTGCAGAACGGACCTCAAACCGCAGGGGGCCCCGATGGCTCCCCATTGATCCCTAGCGGGGCTGCCCGCCCTCCCACCAACCTCCCACACCTTTCCTTTCCCACTGCCCTTTCTGCAGCCTCCACACTCGCAGAACCCAGTGTGCCAGGCGCCGTCCCCGGCCTCCCCCGGTGCCCCGCGGTACCTTGCACTTGAATGGCTTCACCGGGGAGTGCACGATCATGTGCGTCTTCAGCGTCTGCTTCTGCACAAACGTCTTGAAGCAGATGTGGCACTGGTAGGGCCGGACGCTGGTGTGGATGAGCATGTGCCGCTTCATGTTGGCCTGCAGCGTGAACTCGCGCCCGCACACCTCGCACTTGAACTCCTTCACGCCCTGCAGGCATGCGGGAAGTGGTGAGCGCAGCGGGGAGCCGAGCTGAGCTGCCCGGCACGGAGCGGGCGCTGCGCTGCGGTGGCCGCCTGCTGCCCCCCGGCTCGGGGCTGACAAGGGCTGCAGGCACCCTGGCGCCCTCTGCGGCCAACACGTCTCCGGGCACGGCAAGGCAGCAGCCCGGGCGCTCCGTGCTGCGCGGCACCTACCTTGTGTGTGAGTGAGTGCTGCTTGAGGTGGTGGATCTGGCTGAACTCCATGCCACACTCGGTGCAGACGAAGGGCCGGACGTTCTGGTGCTTCAGCATGTGGTTCTGCAGCTGGCTGCGGTAGTGGAAGGACTTGCTGCACTCCAGGCACTGGTACAGCGTGGGGCCCTGGTGCGTGGCCAGGTGCCGCTTCAGCTGGGTGAGCGTGGAGAAGTCCAGCCCGCACTCCACGCAGACGTGGCAGCGGCCGCTCTCGTGCTTCACCTCGTGCGCCTTCAGCTCGCTGGGGTAGGCGAAGCCGCGGCCGCAGAAGCGGCAGCTGTAGGGCTTGATGTCGGTGTGCAGCAGCATGTGCCGCTTCAGGTGGCTGGTCTGCGTGAACGCCTTGCTGCACACCTCGCACTTGTGCGGCCGCGTGCCCTGGTGGGTCAGCAGGTGGGTCTGCAGGTGGCTGGGCTGCTTGAACAGCTTGTTGCAGTGCGGGCAGGAGTGCGGCTTGATGCCGTTGTGGCCCAGGATGTGGGTCACCAGGTTGTACTTGGAGGTGTAGGACTTCTCGCACATGCGGCACTGCCAGCGCTTCTGGCGGTCCCCCGCCTCCACCAGGTACGAGTCGTCGATCTGCACGTTGATGTCCAGTCGGTCCAGCTGAGCCTTCTTGCTGTGCTCGCTGTTGCCGCCCGCAGCATCCGCCTCCAGCTCACCCGGCTCCTGCCACGCGAAGCCCTGCTCGCTCTTCACCCGCTCGGGGGACGCGGGAGCCTCGGGCTCCCCGGGGGACGCGGCTCCCGCCTCGAAGGCGCACGGCGTCCGCGTGGCGTCTGCGCCGCCGCCCTGCGCCGGGTCGGGTTCGCGGCCGTGCGGCTGCTGGCGCGTGTGCCGGCGCAGGTGCCGCAGGCGCCGGGGCTTCCTGCTGAAGGCGCCGAGGTCGATCATCTTCACGGCGCCGCTGGGCTCCGGCACGGGGTCCGGGGGGGGGGGCGGGCGGGGCGCCGCGCTGCGGCTCGGCCTCGTCCTCCCCGGGCGCGGCCACCTCGAACACCTCCGCCTCCGCCTCCTCGCGCTTCACCTTGGGCAGCAGCCTCACCGGGGGCCGCTTCCTCCTGCGCGCGTGCTTCTCCGGGGAGCACTCTGCCTCCAGGGACTCGTCATCCTGCCCGTCTGGCGCCGTCCCCTCGCTCTCGGGCTCTGCCGTGATGTCGGGCTCTCCCTCGCCCCCCAGCCCTGGGAAGAAGCCGGCGGGACTGACGGTGGCCCCCAGCAGCTCATTGTCGGACACCAAGCCCAGCACCGCAGCCTGTGCCAGGGACAGCACCACCACGGCGTCCGTCTGCGTCCCACACTCGCTGAAACGATCCATCCCTGCGCCCTATGCGGTCATGGCTGCGGGAGGAGAGGGACGGCTGTTAGTGCTCCCTCCCACCCGGTGCAGACCCCCACGCAGCCGTTCCCACTGACACAATCCCACGCAATTCAGGGGCTCATCCCAACCTAACGCTGCCTGCAGAGCAGGATGCACTGAAACTCAGCGTGCAGAGCATCCCAGCTGCCCTCTGGAGGCTTCTGCGGGACTCCTCATGCTGTTTAATTCCATCTGCTTCCGGGAAGAAAGTCAAAGCATTGCTCACAACTGACACAGAGCGATGCTCATTTGTGCGGGGAGGAGCGCAGCACAGTGGGACGGGCTGACAGAACCGCCGGCACGGGCTTGTTGGCAGCACAGGATCCTCTGAGCAAATCGCTCCAATGGAAATAGTGCCCAGCCCCAGAGCAGGGGATGAGCAGTGCCACACACAGCAGTGATCACTGCCAGCACCGCACAGCCGTGCCCCAAAGCACCTCTGTTCAGTTCCCACTGCTGCTGAGCGTCCCTGGCAAAGGAACAGCCTTGTGGCTCTCCTCCTCACCCTGCTCTTCCCCGAGGAAGCCCACGCAGCAGCAGCCGCTCCTCCCCGGGCGGAGGTTCTGTGCTGCACCGGGAGCAGCCCTGCAGCAAGGAGGGGCGGGGAGCACCAGAGCCCCGCGGCCGGCCCACACTGTGATGATCCCGGCTGCGAGAAGCAATGATGGGAGACGCCGAGGGAGGATCACAAAGCAAAAGAGGAAGAGGGAGAGAGAAGTGGGAGAGCTGCTTAAAGCAGCAGGCATCTGGCGGCGGGAGCAGCATGCTGGTGGGGAACACAGCCACCACGTGGGGACATGTGGGCGTTCTGCTGTGTGGGATCACAGCCCCCAGCAGGGCCCATCCCCGGGGCAGGCAGGCAGAAACGGGACGGCCGCCCTGGGTGAGCAGGAGGCTGCAGCTTCCTCCTGTGGGGGGACGTCCTGCTCAGTGGAATTATTTCCGCAGCTGCAACAAAGAGGAGCCCTATGGGGGAGGTGAAACAGGGATAAACCCTAAGCCAGATGCTGTCACAGTCCTAGGAGCACCTATGGGGCTGGAGAGCAGCAACCGCGGGCTGTGTATCACCCTCCTTGTCTGACCCCCCCATCAGGCTCTCAACATCCCTGCAGCAGAGCTGCAGTCGGGGCAGGGCCGGGCAAAGCGGTGTGGATGCTGCGATGGGAAGCGCAGCGCCGGGGCTTCGGGGCGCCTCGCAGCGGGCAGCAGCTTCCCGGAAGGAACTCGGCTCCCAGAGCTGTGCATTCGTGCTGCAGGGAGGAAGCTGCACACAACAGGAGCTCCCTGGGGAGGAAGGCCGGGTCCCCTCTGTTTGTGCAGGCGGGGGGAGACGGAAAGCAGGAAAAGCTGCTCAGATCCGGTTGGGATTTTGCTCTCTTCCTTCATTTGCGGAGCAGTGCAGCAATTACTATTTCTCACTTGAATGTCTGTTCCAGTCCATTTGGATCACGCTTTACCCAAGGGTTGACTTCTCCAAAGCCACTTATCATACCCCATTCATCACCTGGGGCAGCGGCTCTGCCCCCTGCAGCCAGCGGGGCAGGACGGGTCGCGGTGAGCAGAGCTGGAGCAGCAGTGGGGACAGCTTTGCTCCTCCATGGCACAGCACTGTGACGGGGAGCAGCTGCACACACAGCTCCCAGCACTCACGTGCCTGAGAAAAGCAAACAACCAAACATCGCCAATAACCAGAGGCTTTCAGAAGAAGGTCAGTGACAGATCCTCCTCTGCAGCACTCCAAGCAAGGGGATGAGAGCTGCTCTCTGTGCTCCCAGCACTAAATACAGGCCTGTGTCACACAGGACCCTTTGCACTTTGTCAGACATTGAAGCTCTTGTATGTGAGCGAGCTTTGCTGCTCAGAAGAGAGCACGGCCACAGCAGCCACAGAGCTGCCGGCGCAGCTGCACAGCACCACAGCAGGGAGAAGTGGCAGCCGGAGGGACGCTGATGTGTCACTTCCCCCTCACACTTCCCTGTGGCTCTCATGGGCCAGCAGTGCCGTTCCCCAGCGCACCAGCTGGGCTGGGAGCAGCGCCCACAGCTCCACGTGCACGCAGCAGGGGCTCTCTGGGTGCAGAGCCGCACTGCAGTGCTGCACTGGGGAGGGAGGTGATCCCACAGTCCAGCACCCATCCTAGCACTGCTCCAGGCCAGCACCAGAAGGGCACAGGAAGGACAGAATGGTTGAACTCCACCCGGCCATGGAAGAGGCACCCCTGCAGAGGGACAAACAGCTGCAACAGTGCCCGCTGCGAGCAGGAAAGCACCACCAGGCACATGAGCTTGTACCCTGTGTGCACAGAGCTCTGTGTGGCACAGGCACAGGCCTGATCCAGAACGGCTCTGCACCAGCGCACCCCTGACCACTCCTGGTTCCCCCATGACACCTCATTGCAGCACACTGCCCGCCCCACATCTGCTCTCAGCCTGCCTCTCCCTGAGTGCCAGCAAACAGCTGCACAAATTTCATCACTCCGCTTTCCAGCAAAGCCATCACTCTTCCAGGAAATATCTCTGCAAAAATCCCCCGCTACAGCCATTTGTCCACTTCTCCCCTAAGCACACCGGTGCCTCTCTGCAGCTCCAGGGACACCCAGATCCACGCTGCCCATCCCGCGCCGTAGCTGCGGTGCTCTGGGGGCAAAGGCCGCGTTGGTTCTGCTGTGTGCACTGCAGCTCCTGAGCCACAGCCGCAGGCAGTGCCAGCAGCACCCGCAGTCCGGGCTGAGCTCTCTTTGCCTTCCCCTGTGCTGCTGTGCCTGCTGGGCTCCCTGTCCCCTCTGTGCTGCTCCAGAGCTTTGGGTGTCCCCATACCCACAGACCCTGCTGCGCTGGGGGGCACCGGGGCTGTGCACATCATCCGCAGCAAGCAGCTAATTGCTGGATCTCGAATATCTGCATGAGCACTTCTGGGCTTATTTTCTTTCTCTTCTAAAAGAGCTTTCCATCAAGTTTGATAAAGGAAAAAAGTCAGCCTTTCATCTTTCGGTCTGTGCGTGATTTTTCCATAAAAAAAAAAACCTCCTTACAGCATCCATACAAATATTAAGCAGAATAAAATGCATTTTTCCCCTCTGAAAATCACAAGGAATCACTGCAGTCATTTACAACCCCAACTGGACACCGCTCTGCATGAGGCCGGAGGATTCGTGAGGTCCCCACGGTCTGAGCTGCGCAATGGAGCCCTGGGGGGTTTCTGCTCTCTGCTCCCCAGCATGTCCCCATACAGGACAGTCATTCTGCTGCTGACAAAGTAAACTTGGCCTTCTTAAAGAAATCAAGCCAACATTTCAATTCACTCCATCAGTGCCCCCAAGTTGGGTGCCACCTAACTGGGCTCACTAAGGGAAAGTGGTAGCAGGTCCTGTAGAGAAAAGAGAACAGCGCTGGGCGCATGCTGATCCGCTGCAAGGAGCTACGGGGCTGTGGAGGAGCTGTGCAGGCTCCTCATGGGGCTCAGGTTCCAGAGCCAAGGACAGCCCCAGCCCTCACTGCGATGAAGGCACTGCGTTTGGTGGCACAAGCAGCTGGGGCAAACAGTGACGGTGTGTCTGCGTGGCACTGCGTCAGGGAGGCAGCGACCCCCTCCTCATCAGGCCATGTTAAAAACACACATTATCAACATCTGCCAGCAGTCTCACTGCCATCCTCACACCCAGAGGGGAAAGCAATCACTGACTGGCTCACAGCCATCGGGCTCCTGGTCACACAGGTGGAGGAGAAGGAGGGCTGATTCCCAAACAATGACAGCATGGGGAGAGCACAGCACAGGGCTGCCAGAAGGTGGCCCGAGCAGGGCTGCACCCTGAGACAGCCCCTGCTGAGACCCTCAGCCCAGCCCTGAGCATCCACCCTGCGCCCCTTCCCCCCCAGCACTCTCCTCTCCTCTCCTCTCCTCTCCTCTCCTCTCCTCTCCTCTCCTCTCCTCTCCTCTCCTCTCCTCTCCTCTCCTCTTCACCACTCTCATCCTTCCCGTTTCCCTGGCAACCTCTATCTGGGCGCTGTGGATCTGTCCTCTGCCTCCCTCTTATCTCTCTCCTTTCTCTTTCATCTATCTCCTAATCTCCCTCTGTATTCCAAACCTCTGTCCTTTGCTTGCCTGCTTTCTCTCTCGCTTTTCATCTCCTCCTACGTCTCCTCTATCTCTGGGATACGATTATTTGAATCTCACAAAGAAAAGAATCCTCTCCGTGACCGGCCGTGGCCCCGGTGCTGCCTGGGACCCCAAGGCTCCCCGAGCGCCCAGCCGCGCTGGGAGCAGCACTGCAGCCGAGCGCTTCCCAGCCCCGCAGACAAAGGCAGAGCCCGGCGTCAGTTTCGTGCCACGGCCGTACAGGACTGGGCGATCGGAGCTGCCCCGCACGCTGCCCACGTTCCGTGCGGTGCTGCGCTTTGCGTTCCCGCTTCGCCTTTACCCGGCGCTCTGCAGCTGAAACGGAGCGGCCCTGCAGCAGCCCGGTCCCCACGTCCCCACGTCCCCACGCTCCGTCCTCCCGCCCCTCCGACGCCAAAGGAGAACCGGCGGCCCTGACCCGAGCTCCTGCGGCCCTCAGCTTCCGCTTTGGCTCTGAGCAGGCGGGGAGAGAACGGCCGCGGGCCGTGGCAGCGCACGGGAGGGCCGGAGTGCCGCCAGCAGCTCATCGCATGGCACCGAGCGCCACCGCCGCGAGCCGCCGCTGCCAGCCGCTCTCTGCGCCCTTCGCCCCGGGGCTCCGCGACCCACGGCGAGCCCGCAGCCCCACACGGAGCGCCGAGCCCGCAGCCCTCGAGCTCGGCCCCGCAGCCCCGAGTGCCGTCAGCACCGCACCGCGGGCACCGCAGCGCTCGTGTTCCATTCGAAGCCCCCCGGCCGCGCCTCGCCCCACCTGCGCAGCGGAGCCGTGGCCCCGCGCCGTGCCCTGGGATGTCCCCACTCGCCCGCACCGGAGCGCAGCGATGCCGGCGCACGGATCGGATCCCTCCTGCCCGGCCGGGGCTGCCCGCACCGCGCGGGGTCTGCGGCACTCGTCCCTCCTCCCTGCAAAACAGTTTGGTTGTTTTTTTTTTTTTGCTTTTTGCTTTTTTTTTTTTTTTTTTTTGCTTTTAAGTGAAATAAACAGGGAAAGAGCGACTTTCAAGTTCCTGCTTGCTGCAACGACTTCTCTTCTACACGGTCCCTTTCCTCTCCGAAAATAGAAGAGCTATTCAAAAAAGACGCGAAAAGAAAAAAGGAACTGAATAGAGGAAAGAGGAAAGAAAAAATGGAGCCCCAAGGGGGAGGAGAAAAACAGAATGAAAAGACAGCAAAAGTAAAGAAAAGGGATGAAAAATAAAGGAGGGGGAAGAGAGAGACAGACAGAGAAGCTTTGAAAAGAAAGAATGCTCCCAGCCTGAATACAGTGTGCATGAAAAAAAGAGCGCTTGAAAAGAAACAGCCACATGAAATGACCTCTCATTCACAGACTGTGCCAATCACGACGACAATGTAAATCCTTTCTTCTTTTTTTACATTCTCTCTCTTTCCAGTGGGGGCAGAGGGAGAAGGAAGAAAAGAGAGTTAATTCTCAGCGCAGCAGAGAATAAATCTGCTCCTTTCTAACTCCCTGAAAGAGACACCGAGCTACTTTTAAAAATGCTTCTCTGGTCATCACGCATGCAGATATGTAGAAAAGTCAGCGGAATTCCGCATGCTGAGATCCTGCAGGAGGGTCCGACTCCACAGAGGGCCTCCGCGAAACCTCCGTTCTTTCCCTGGTGGAAAAAGCAGCAAACAGAAAACAAAACGGCACAGCCACGAGAGGCGAGCCGAGCTGTAGATATGGGTCAAGAAGCAAACCTTGCCGGGAAGGAAGGCTGTGGGAGGCAGGCGGGGAGCAGGGCCGGGACCCAGCGCCGCTCCGAGGGCACCAGGGCGCTCTGAGTGTGTGGGGCGGGCGCTGCGGGGCCGAACGCCCCGAGCTGAGCGCTGCTCTGCCCTGCCGGGACACACGGCGCTCAGTGCCGCAGCAGCAGCGTGGGGCTCTGTGCAGAGCAAACAGCGCGGAGCGGGGAGGGGGTGAAACGTGGGACAAAGGCAGAACGCGGCGTAGGGAGGAGAGGATGGTGGAAGTGCAGGCAGCCAGGAGAATGCTGCTGCTCTGCCGGAGCGGGGCCCGCATGGCCGGGCCGAGGGAGGAGGGCAGCGGCAGCAGAGCTACGCAGCCAGCTCTGCGGGACGGCAGCTGGGCGCTGCGAGGCCTGGATGTGGGACTGTGAGAGGAACACGGTGGCACAGTGTGCAACACGCAGCCCCAACAACGCCGCTGTGCCCTGCTGCGCTGCAGTGAGCACCGAGTGAGACAAGGGCAGCTCTTGTGATGTGCTGCGTTTTCCTTGCAAACAACTTCTGCCTTTGCATCCCGGCACAGGGTTCACCCAGGCAGAGCGGCGCTGGGTCCTGCAGCCCACAGCAGGGCTGGTTTGTGAGCAGGGGGTCAATGGGCGACCGCCGCGGCTGCACACAGCGTCACCGACAGCCCAACCCTTCCACGCAGCAAACAATGGCCGGCTGGGAAGCGGCCCCTGAGCCGCGAGCACCACGTATTGTGCTTCGGTTCTTACTGCTGCTGAGGCCGGAGGAGCCATCTGCAGCCCCAGCACCCAGCAGGGACAGGAGCTCAGCGCTGCTTTATGGACACGCAAACCTTCTGCTCCCAGCCAGCCGCCTCGGGTCTCGGGGGGCCACGACCCTCTGGGAAAGCCCCACCGCCTCCTATTTCTCCAACAGCAGCACCGGTGTACGTTCACCATTTTAGGAGCAAAAGAAACCGCTCAGCTGCAGAGGCCGCGTTTTTCTCAGATCTGAGAACTGAAAATATTTCAGATCCCTCTCTGAACAGGGCAGCGCTTTGGAAAGATGGGCATTCACATTTGATAAGTGCTTCCCAGTGACCCACAGAGTGGAAGCAATGGGGTGTGGGGAGCAGCGTGGGTCTGCCCAGAGAGTGGAGCTCTTCCAAAGCTCCAGAGCTGCTGCCAACACTCCTCAGTGCTTGCACTGCATGCTGCTCCCCTGCCCCATCCCTGCACAGCCCTGCCCTGTGTGAGCAGCATGGACAGCACACGCACTGCTTGCAATAGATCAAGGCTCAGGAACACGCTGGCAAACACCTGCATGCACACACACAGACCTCCTGCTCCCACAGCCCTCCCCGGGGCCGGTGCTGGGGCTCGGTGCCGCCTGCTGCCCATCTCAGCACTGCGGGAGCACAGCGAGCGTTTCAACGCACAGAACTCTGCGCTGTGCTCAGTGAGGCTCTGTGCGGAGGTTCTTTCCTCCTTTAATGGCAAAGTCTGGAGCACCAACAGGTAAAACACAATTGGTGACTGACAGGGAAAACAGTCCTGAGCTGGGAGGCTCTGCTGCTGCCCTAGAGAAGGTAACACGTGTGGGGCACGGAATGGAAGCTTCAGAAGGTAAAGGCTGTACGTGGAACTGAAGACTGCTTGAGAGCCTACGAGCGAACAAAGTCTGGGGATCGCTTTGAGCAGAGCTGCTTTTCCCTCTCCTTCAGATGCGCTGGGAAGGAGCCAGTAAGGATCCAGTAAGGAGCCTGCTGGGCTGCCCATGCAGAAGACCGCTTCCACTAAGGTGGTGACACCGGCAGTGCAGAGCTGGGGAAGGAATCCACAGCACCACACTGCGTCCCTCTGTGTGCTGCTGTGCTGAGTGCCCCGGCCTGGCAGCCTGCAACAGCTGAAATTTCACACCGGAGCTGCATTTGGCTCTGCACTGTGTCTGCCTCCAGCCCTGTCCTGCAGACCTGCATGGGAGCAGCTGCACGGGGAGCTGCAGGTGCATGGGATGTAGGCACAGCAGAGCACACCAGTGCAGCAGCTCCATGCATTAAAAGCTGGGGAGGCCTGGTAAAGTCTGCCCACAGTGAAACAAACTCAGAGGTAACAGTAGGGCAGAGGGCAGCGATGTGGGGAGGAGGAGCCCAGCAGCACACCTCAGTGCTCCTCAGCTGCTTCCCAGGGCAGCACCTCCAGCGGCACACAGCTGAGGGCACTGAGCTGCAGGCACTGGGCTGGATGCTCACCTATCACAGCTCTGGGAACGCCTTCATTTTAGCAGTCATTATAAACATTGGCACCTTTGGTACCTCGGCCACAAGGCTGCTTTTATCCGAATGCATTTCCCCTTTGCTTTGGCAACAAGGGCTGCCTGAACTGCCTGCAGCCCATGTTTCCAAAACAATGTGCATCGCTGCTCTGTTTTGCACTCATTGCAGTAAGAAATCCCATAAATGTACTGAATATTCTACTGCTGAAATAATTCACTTCTATGCACCCCTCGCTGGTGATCATAAAATGAAACCCCCCATAAATCACAGCTTAAGCTCTGCAGGCACGTTCTGCAGTCCCCCCGATGAGCTTCTGATGCGTACACTGTACGGTCAGAGCACAAAACAGGGAAGAAAGGCAGCAGTGCACGGCATGCCGTGACCACACTCAGTGCTCCCAGGCAGTGGGAGCTCCCACGCAGTGAGGAACCCACTGTGGCACCGCAGCCCAGAAGAGCACCCAAAGGAATCACCTCCTCTGTCACGATTCTTTCCTCTGGGAAGGACCCAGCCCTTCCCAGGGGCCCTCTGGGATTTCACCACAGGGCCGTTTTTGGGCACCAGGGACGGACATCTCAGTGCTTCCCTCCTGCTTCACACCCAGACCGCGTCCCGTTGGCTCCTCCGGCCAGCACAGCACAGCACAGCACAGCTCCTCGCTCCCGCTCTCAGCAGCAACGCTCAGCTTTGTGGCTTAACTTAGTTAATTTTCAGCCTTTCAAGGTGATGAACGGTTACAGATTTCCTTCCTTCGTCCATCGCTTCTCAGCTAT